CCAAATGTGTGTGTAATAAGACTGAGGAAATAATGGTTTAAAACTAAAAAAAATGAGATAAGAGACTGGGTACAGTACTGATAGTGGGCAGGACGGTGCTTTTGGCCTCCAGAGCCACCTGCATGTTCCCCACACGAATGTGAGCAATCAGGGACGTCAAACCCTCATGGAACAGCACCACCTACACATGCACATATATAGGAGCAAAGCAGCATGGGAAATGGAATTTTAATTAGGGGAGAGGACAATAAAAAAAATATATTACATCAACACAATTATTACAAAAGTAAAGTAATTTAAGACAGACCTGTGAATTCATCACCACACCCATGTGCAATATAATCAATACTATTATACTAGTATAGCAATATGTGCAAAATATTCTTATAGTGTAAAGATGTTTTTGCTTTTCTATTTATAATGTTTATATTGTTATGTTTATACTGTTAATTTTCGGAAAGTTAGAGTTTATGTGACAAACTGTAACCATATTAAAAAATTAACAGGGTTAAGTGACCCTTTATTAATCCCACAACAAAGAAACTCACCTCTGCATTTAACCCATCCATGCAGTGAAACACCCACATACACACTAGTGAACGCACACACACTAAGGGGCAGTGAGCACACTTGCCCAGAGAGGTGGGCAGGCCTATCTGCAGTGCCTGGGAAGCAGTTTGGGGTTGGGTACCTTGCTCAAGGGCACTTCAGTCATGTCCTGTCAGCTCAGGGGATCAAACCGGAGGCCTTCCAGTCACAAGGCAGGTTCCCTAACCTCCAGCCCCCAACTGCCCCCTTGTTTGTTGATTCTGTTCTTGTTACTTCCTTTCTTGAGTGCCTTGCTCTCCCTATGTGCTGTAGTACTGTGAATTTCCCTCTTGTGGGACTAATAAAGGATTATCTTATCTTATCATAGAAAAAAAAACACACATTTTAATGAAGTAAAACCAATTCAACACTTTTCTACTGAACTTATTAAATGTATATTCCTATATATCTAGCTACGGTCTTTATTTGGTTGGCTGTAAATTGGTGTGTTGGATACACACCTTGGCGGTCCAGTTTGTCTGGGTCATTTTTCCAGATGTAGAGATGGTGTGTGTGAAGATTCGGCCATCATCTGGAATCCAGGGACCACAGATCCTCTCTTCAGCTGCTTTCTATAGCAAGAGAGAGAGAGAGATAGAGAGAGAGAGAGAGAGAGAGAGAGAGAGAGAGAGAAAGAGAATCATTACGAACCTCAGTTTCAAAAGAGTTGGAACAGTATATTAAAAAACAGAGAAAAAACAGTAAGCCTTGATTAGTTTATTTATTAATTGTTTTCATGAAACGAAAAACTAATTCCAACAACATGCTCCTGTCTGAACTTTTTTGGCAGAATTTTTTTTGCCATTCTCCAGTTATACAAGTCTTCAGCTGCGCAACCATACAGGGCCTTTGTTATCATGCTGTTGACATGTGCAGGTTGATGTTGTCATGTTGAAATAAGCATGGATGTCCCTGAAAAAGACAGCGTCTAAAAGGCAGCATATGTTGTTTCAAAATGTGTTCAGTGAAAAAGGTTCTTTCACACGTGTATAAATTACCCAGTAACATACCTACATACCAAGATAGACTGTGGATTTTGAACTTTATGCTGGTAACAGTCTGGATGGTGCTTTACTTCTTTAGCTCAGAGAACACAGTGTCCATTCTTTCCATAAACAATCTGAAAGTTTCATCAGAACACAGTACACGTTTCTGTTGAGCATCGGTCCATTTCAGATAAGCTTGAGCCCAGAGAAGTCGGCGGCATTTCTAGATTTTGTTAATATACATGACTTCCACTGTGTGTAGTACAGACTTCACTTAGACTTGTGGATGCCACAACGGATGCTGTTTTTAATGCATGCCGTCTGAGGGGTCCAAGTTCACAGACATTCTTGCTGTTGCTGTTTTCTGCCCTTTATGCACAGAGATTTTTCCAGATTTCCTGACTCTGTTGATTGAATTATGCACTGTAGTGGGAGAAATACCCAAAATCCATGCAATCCTTGGATGAGGAATGTTGTTCTTAAACAGTTGGACTATTTGTCTATAAGTGGTGAGTCTTGACTCATTTTCACTCATAAAGGACTCTTCTTTTCCTGGATGCTCCTTTTATATCCAAGCATGATTAAACTGCTTCTTTTAAAATGTATTTGAACATTTAACAACATTCCTAGTCTTAAATGACTCCTGTCCCAACCTTTTTGGAATGTTTTGCAGTGATCAGTTTCAGAATAATTGTATATTTACAAAAAAACACTGATGTTCATGAGGTAAAAAATCACATCTCTTTGTACTGCATTTTATTAATGAACAACTGATTTAAATATGTAAGTGAAGTTACCATGTAACCCATAGGGCAGGAGTGTATGTTAGCATGGTGAATGCAGCAGTTTTCTCCATTTGCGTCTTTCCAGTTACTCGGACACTCGTGTTCCTCACAGAACCGCCGAGCTTCCACCGGGTCCGTAATGGACCTACACCAACCAACAAACAAACAAAGATGCGGATAAACAGAGAATGGAGTGATATAGAGTGAATGAGAGAGAAAGAGATTATGACCTCCATTCAAACTGAACATAAACACTTACTGAACTACAACACAGTCATTCCAATAAAGCCTCATCAGGGCTGTCCAGTCTTATCTGCAAAGGGCCGGCGTGACTGCAGGTTTTTGTTGCAACAAAGCAGAGCACACTTGATCAGTTGTTTAAAGACTGAGACCGACTGATTAAACGAGTGGAATCGGGTGTGCTCTGCTTGTTTAGAATGAAAACCTGCACCCTCACTGGCCCTTTGCGGACAAGACTGGGCATCCCTGAGCTATCTGAATTAACCTGTGAGGTAGTTCAGGTCCAAAAAGTAAAGATTCTACCCAGGGCTTTGTTCCAACTTGGCTTCCTAAGTCAAATCAGATCTCCAAGCAGGTGGCAGAAAATCTTAGGGGGGATTTTTTTTCTTTCTGGGCCTGAATTACCCACTTCTGATTTAAACTGAATGAAGAGAAGAGAGGAAAGAGGATATGGAGATAGATGGAAAAAAAGAGATAGAAAAAAATAAAGGGCTGACCTGTGTATAAAGATGTTGTTGTCCACGGCCCACTGGTAGAACTCGTCTCTGACTGTTACTGAATAAATGACGTCAAACTCCTCACCACTCAGAACTTTATCTGGAGGACGCAAAACCCAGGCCATCTCTAAACCTGCACACACCCACACACACACACACACACACACATACGCACACGCACACACACACACACACACACACACGCACACACACACGCACACACACACACACACACACACACACACAAGAGATAAGGGGTGAGAGATGACGAAGAGAACAGATTGGCCATGATACCATAGAACAGTAAAACCACATAATTTATGTAGTTTCAGTACCAAAATTCATTTCATCACCGTTGCACAAAAACCTGTATCACCATTTTTGTTGTTTTTTTTTCTTCTGAAAACCCATTTACTCTTTTTATTGCGTAAAATTTCATAACGAATGAACCATTAGAAATGTTCCATCTTCCATTTACAAATTAAGAATTAACTTTCTTCACTGAAGTTACCATTTTGGAGAAATAAGGTTTTATTCCGACAGCGATGATATGAATAAACTGTAAACATTAATTTCAATTGTTGTCTATATAGTTCAATTTCTACTGTATATAAACACCATTGACCATATATACTTTATATGCTGGCCCCTATATATATATGGCTGCTGTAATTAGCAAATATAAAAAAGTATAATAATAATAAAATGTGGCCTGTGGAATAGCTATGGCACATTTTATGTATGTATTTTCCTCAATATGTTAAATTCAGCAAATAAATAGAAATTGTGCACACAAGTGTGCAGAACAAAATGCAAAATGTCATATGTAAGTGTGTCTCTGCAGAGGATGTGTCTTATTGTCTTATTTTCACTTAGAAAATTAACAAAACATATAATTTGACAGGTAGTGTATTATTATCTGTTGTGTAAAACTGTATATATATATATATATATATATATACACTCAATGTACTGTTTATAGTTTCGGTATATATATATATATATATATATATATATAATGTCTATACTGAAACTATAAACAGTACATTGAGTATTCCAAACACCTTTCAGTCACAGTGTCTATTCTGTATCAATTTGAGCAACAGTTAAAATAAATGGAGAATAAACTGCACCTCCACAGTCGATCATATTCAGCTCGTCTGGCTTCTCCAGCGGCCAGCAGTCATACTCGCTATTGTCCAGGTCGTGCCACCCCAACACCCCCGTGACTAACAGGAGCTGAAAAGAAAAATCTCTGATATCTCATTTCCTACATGTGGATTAAGTCTAGTTTTTTAAATGTGATATATTTTTAAAAATAACATGCAACTTATTAGAAGAGAGTAAGAAAAGTGAAAAATGTTCTTACCAGATAAGCGAGTCCGTAATGCAGGGAGGTGATCATATTTATTGTATTGACTGATGTGAGTCTCAGCACTCTCAGGTTGGATGTTATTCTAATTGTGGATCAAAGGAGGATCAAAGCCCCAGGACTGATGAGGAGGTGAGCTTCTACTCTGCCTTATTTTTTCCCCACCTGTACTCCGCCACATCCCACCTCCTGCTCTGAGATTGGCTGGTATAAAAATCCTGCTTGTGAGTGTGAACTACTGGCCAATCCTAATGCAGGAGGAATGGTGGGAAAAAATGACCATTTCTTTTTTATGGAGGGGGAAGGAAATTTATTTAGATGTTTTCCCTTTATTATTCATTTATTTTCTCATTTTCAAACAGTCCTGTTTTGATCAGTTATACTTGTCTGTGTGCTACAGTTGAAAATCTCACCTATTAAACCACATTCACACTTTTAGAGTTCTGAAACGGTGCAATGTCGCCATCTGGTGGTCGAATGTATTACATGCTTACGACTGAAGCGCTGCAGTTTGCCGCCACTCAGCGGCAGAACGAAGAATTACATCTTAAAGGCGACATCATGAACCTAGCTCAGTTTGAAGGCTCCGAGGAGACAGACGCGGCTGTATCGTTCACATAACCGGCAAGATGCCTCTGACTAATGTGCTGATAAGCCTTAAACACCGTCCATTCTGCATATTTGTGCACTCAGACTGAGTCTGGAGCCTGAGGTACGTACACGGCGGTTCCCCCAGCGTCTATTTACATTAGCCAGTTTGCTAACTAGCGCTGTGTTTGGGTGAAAAGCTGCAGGTAGGTTTGAGAAAGGAGGAAGTTTTGATGGTGTGTAAGCTGGTAACGTTAGATAAGTCTGGTCTACAGGCTTCTCCTCCGGGTATAAAGCTGATGTAACGCCTTTTAGCGCAGGTTAGGTAGGTTAGCTAGGTAAGATTAGCAGGTTAGCTGCAGTGCAGCATCCAGAGCTCAGGCTGTCTTCATTTAATTCAGCTGCACTGCTTCATGCACAGCGAGTTAAAATGAAATTTCCCTTCCAAACAAACAGAAATGGCTTTGTGTTCTTCCTGAAATGTGGTCCTGTTAACTAGCTAGGTTAACATGGCCACAACAGAGTTTTAAAGGGGAATTCCACCAATTTTCCAAAATTTCTGAATAATTCAGTGTTTGAGATGTAAACAGAGCCATTCAGAGTGGTTTGGGGTGACATGGTTGATGGTAGAGACTCAGATTTCCTTACTACCCTACCACCACCAGTAACCCCCCACACGTGTCTTCAGAGTTTTTATATTGAACGTTGATAATGGTAAAATAGTCGAAAATCTGAAATAATAAGTTTTTTTTGGGGGGGGGGGGGCTGTTTTGCCTCACAACACCCAGCATGTACCTCTACATCAAGAATGAATTAAAATACATCTTGAGCTAAAACTTTATCTCAAAACTATCATAAAACAGTGTCTCAGACATCAGGCAGTGAATTCATAACCATTTCATGTAGTAACTTTCTGTGAGGGAGCTTTTAGAGGTGGACGTCTGGTTCCTATCACCACCACTGTGAACAGTTCTGACTGTAAGTTTATCTAGAACAGAGCGTTTCACACCAAACCACTCTGAACCACTCTGACCGACCCTGTTCACATCTCAACTGTTTAATTATGTAGAATTTTGCAAGTGCCAAATTAGTGATGGTGGGGGGTGTTTGTGGTCATGGGGGTGGGCGGTATGGGGTTGGGCGGTTAGGTGGTCTGTGTTTTTTTTCTTAGTGTTTATTTCTTTGCTGTGTTTGTGTCGTGGTTGCACATTGATCTTATCTGCACAGTAGTGCTGTTGTTGATGCTGCGTTCCAGATGTCCTTTTTTTAAAGAATAGCCTTTAGCTGTTTAGCTAAAACAGTGTGTTTTTTAATGAGGCAACTGCCTCTGTTATATTTTGTGTTGCCTCCAGCTCTCAAAAAAACTCTGACAGGTGTCTTCATGGAAAACACTGTTTTCTAACAAGCTTTGCACTCTGTGGATTTCTGTCATTTGTAACTGCAATTGTGGCCTTGTGCCATGTGGTGGCGCTGTAATCAGCAGAGTGCGCTGCCAAAACTGGAGCAGCAGTAAACGTATGGCCATAACTGATTATGGGGACACTGAGGTCCAGCCCTCTGTAGTTTCAGAGTTTCAGAAGGACTTTTTCTTTTATCTTCATATGATTTTTGATGTGGAAACTGCACCGTTCTGATGATGCAGTAGCCAATCGGGGGTGCAGCCCTTACAGGTCTACCTGACCAAACAGGGAAAGAATGTTTATTCCCCCACATTTTTAAGTGAATTTTGATTTTAAATGAAATTTGATTTGTTTTCTGTGAGCATTACAGCCAATCAAATCATTACACCCTAAATCATGTGCCACTGCTTAGCGACCGTTGCTATCTTCAATTGCCTCAAGCTGGTTCATTATCGGCGCCCTTCAGGTTGGTAACTAGCATGCAAGGTCCCTGAGGTCCTCTGTAGTTTATGAAGGGCTTTATGAAATTCAGTGTGGAAACAGTGGCGAATCTACACAATCAGCGGTGTCTGGTTCTTAGCTGACCTCAGAGCTGCTGTGGTTCGGCCGTAGACTGAACTTCCCGCTGTGTGTGTCTCTGTATGATGCCACCCAGAGCAACTTTGACTTCTTGAGATGTAACGTTACAGGTGTGTAGCACAACATACTACAGGCTGACACACAACATAGCTACGGTAAAATGTGAGCCAAACCATACAACTCGGTTTTATTTGGACCACTAGTAACGTTGAACATAATCAGCTTTAGTCAAGTTCCAGTAGCTGCTCAGTTTAGGTTACAGGCTCTGTAGTTGGTCTGTTAGCAGTTAGATGAGAAACGAATGGTTGTTCAAAGTTAAATTGTGTTACCTGCTCATAACAGCAACTACTACTAGCATTCTGGTAGCACAGTATCAAGTAATGTATTTTAGAGATCGGCAGATACAGCAGCGTTATGTCTGATTAACTGTATGAGTATCTGATCATCTTCTTTCCTAGGCCTCACTATTAGTTTCATCCCAGTTCCAGCCCTGTGTAGCACTTTCACAAAAGCTTTACTCTATAAGTTACAGAAAAAACTATATAAAATAGGTGTATTTTTAAAAGAATTACCTTGTTGTTTTATCATTATTAGAACTACTAAAATATGTTGCGTGTAAAAGTGTTATCCTCAGCCAGTTGTAGGCACGGTACACGTACTCATGCACATGTGAGCACAGGACGGAGCAGCTCTGCCTCGTTTTGAGCTGGAAAAACCCTGTATGTGTAGTCATGAGCGCTGCTTTTGCTCTTATCATTTCATTTTTATACTTGATCAGTAAGAATTTTCTTTTTATCGATCACATTTAGTTTACTGACCAAGTCGGTTATTTATCTTTCCGTACTCCTTCGGTTCTCGCTGCTTGGGGCTGTTTGTCGAGTTTAGTGAAGGTTTTTCTTTTCCCACTGACACACGAGTGCAGTATGTGATGTTCGTGCATCGCAAGAGTGAGGAGCGTGAAATTAGACCTAAATGTGTGAGAGTTGCTGCCCAGCTCCTCCATATAGGGCAGAGGTGGGGAAACTGACGGGCAGAGTCCAGTACGACATTGTGTCTATATGTATGTGTGCGTGTGTGTGTGTGTGTGTGTGTGTACATATATTTTATATATATATATAAAACGCATGTATCAGCGGATGCTGAGACGCAACGCAAAGGTCGCCAACTTTCTGCAGAGTCAATCGCTACAGACCTCCAAACTTCACGTGGCCTTCAGATTAGCTCAAGAACAGTGTAGAGAGCTTCATGGAATGGGTTTCCGTGGCCGAGCAGCTGCATCCAAGCCTTACATCACCAAGCGCAATGCAAAGCATAGAATGCAGTGGTGTAAAGCGCCACCACTGGACTCTAGAGCAGTGGAGACGTGTTCTCTGGAGTGACCAATCACGCTTCTCCGCCTGGCAATCCGATGGACGAGTCTGGGTTTGGCGGTTGCCAGGAGAACGGTACTTGTCTAACTGCATTGTGCCAAATGTAAAGTTTGGCGGAGGGGGGATTATGGTGTGGGGTTGTTGGGCTCGGCCCCTTAGTTCCAGTGAAGGGAACTCTTAATGCTTCAGCACCAAGAGATTTTGGACAATTTCATGCTCCCAATATTGTGGGAACAGTTTGGGGACGGCCCCTTCCTGTTCCAACATGACTGAGCACCAGTGCACAAAGCAAGATCCATAAAGACATGGATGAGCAAGTTTGGTGTGGAAGAACTTGACTGGCCTGCACAGAGTCCTGACCTCAACCTGACAGAACACCTTTGGGATGAATTAGAGCGGAGACTGCGAGCCAGGCCTTCTTGTCCAACATCAGTGTCTGACCTCACAAATACGCTTCTGGAAGAATGGTCAAAAATTCCCATAAACACATTCCTAAACCTTGCGGAAAGCCTTCACAGATGATGTTGGTAAAATGGTCGAAAATCTGAAATAATAAGTTTTCTTTGGCGGCTGTTTTGCCTCACAACACCCAGCATGTACCTCTACATCAAGAATGAATTAAAATACATTTTAAGCTAAAACTTTATCTCAAAACTATCATAAACAGTGTCTCAGTCATCAGGCAGTGAATTCATAACCATTTCATGTAGTAACTTTCTGTGAGGGAGCTTTTAGAGGTGGACGTCTGGTTCCTATCACCACCACTGTGAACAGTTCTGACTGTAAGTTTATCTGGAACAGAGCGTTTCACACCAAACCACTCTGAACCACTCTGACCGACCCTGTTCACATCTCAACTGTTTAATTATGTAGAATTTTGCAAGTGCCAAATTAGTGATGGTGGGGGGTGTTTGTGGTCATGAGGGTGGGCGGTATGGGGTTGGGCGGTTAGGTGGTCTGTGTTTTTTTTTCTCAGTGTTTATTTCTTTGCTGTGTTTGTGTCGTGGTTGCACATTGATCTTATCTGCGCAGTAGTGCTGTTGTTGATGCTGCGTTCCAGATGTACTTTCTGTAGCCAGTTATGATTTCATTAGAGAGAAATGTCTAATACAAAAAATTTCCGAGTCATTTAATTTCATGAGGCCATTTGCGTGATTTTTTTTTTTTGTAGAGATAGACATTTTAAATTTACCAGACACTCAAATATTATAATAGAATTAGGTCTTTATCCACACTCAGATCTGACCTGTGTCCACAGCAACACTACGTATATCCATTCAGTATAGCACTGTATGTAGTGTTGATATGAGTAAGACATTATTTTATATATATATATATATATATATATATATATATATATATATATGTGTGTGTGTGTGTGTGTGTGTGTGTGTGTGTGTGTGTGTGTGCGCGTGTGTGTGTGTGTATATATACACCTTGTATCTCCGAAATGGTAACTTTACAGGAAAAGTAAAAAAAAAACCTACTTTACTTTTAATGTAAGTCAGTGGAACCAGACTTTTTTCCAAGTCATTTTGCGTCATTTCCTTTGATCCATTCATCCTGATATTTACAAACAATGTAAAGGGTAACAGGCATTTTCAAATTGTCAAAAACTGAAAAACATCAAAAATGGAGATACGAGATTTAGTTCTGACAGCAGCGATATATAAATATCTCCATAATGTTTTTTTTTCTTTTTATGTTCTGTCACATTATGTGACTTCAGCTGGGTTTTGGCTTCAGAGCAAAGTCTGAAAGCTGGTAATATCTGCTTTTGTTCAGCATTGATCATTTGTTGTTACCTCTCTGCTGAACTGGTTTGCCTACTTTAATGAGCACAAAATAATGAGCAGAATATAGAGCAGTTAAAAAGTGCCTGTTATCGGTAACCAGTGGTCTAATTCTTTACCCGACTACACTTGATTGGCACCAATTTCAAAACTCACAGCTACACAGTGAAACTGGTTAAGAATGACCTTTAGCTGTTTAGCTAAAACAGTGTGTTTTTTAATGAGGCAGCTGCCTCCGTCATATTTTGTGTTGCCTCCAGCTCTCAAAAAAACTCTGACAGGTGTCTTCATGGAAAACACTGTTTTCTAACAAACTTTGCACTCTGTGGATTTCTGTCATTTGTAACTGCAATTGTGGCCTTATGCCATGTGGTGGCGCTGTAATCAGCAGAGTGCGCTGCCAAAACTGGAGCAGCAGTAAAAGTATGGCCATAACTGATTATGGGGACACTGAGGTCCAGCCCTCTGTACTTTCAGAGTTTCAGAAGGACTTTTTCTTTTATCTTCATATGATTTTTGATGTGGAAACAGCGCCGTTCTGTTGATGCAATAGCCAATCATGGGTGCAGCCCTTACAGGTCTACCCAACCAAATAGGGAAAGAATGTTTATTCCCCCACATTTTTAAGTGAATTTTGATCTTAAATGAAATTTGATTTGTTTTCTGTGAGCATTACAGCCAATCAAATCATTACACCCTAAATCATGTGCTGCCTTGAATTGCTGCTTAGCGACCGTTGCTTTCTGCAGTTGCCTCAAGCTGGTTCGTTATTGGCGCCCGTCATGTTCGTAACTAGCATGCAAAGTCCCTGAGGATGAAGGGCTTTATGAAATTCAGTGTGGAAACAGTGGCGAATCTACACAATCAGCGGTGTCTGGTTCTTAGCTGACCTCAGAGCTGCTGTGGTTCGGCCATAGACTGAACTTCCCGCTGTGTGTGTCTCTGTATGATGCCACCCAGAGCAACTTTGACTTCTTGAGATGTAACGTTACAGGTGTGTAGCACAACATACTACAGGCTGACACACAACATAGCTACGGTAAAATGTGAGAGTTCATGAGGGTAATTAACAGATTATGATTTGTAAAATCCAAACCATACAACTCGGTTTTATTTGGACCACTAGTAACGTTGCACATAATCGGCTTTAGTCAAGTTCCAGTAGCTGCTCAGTTTAGGTTACAGGCTCTGTAGTTGGTCTGTTAGCAATTAGATGAGAAACGAATGGTTGTTCAAAGTTAAATTGTGTTACTTGCTCATAACAGCAACTACTACTAGCATTCTGGTAGCACAGTATCAAGTAATGTATTTTAGAAATCAACAGATACAGCAGTGTTATGTCTGATTAACTGTATGAGTATCTGATCATCTTCTTTCCTAGGCCTCATTATTAGTTTCGTCCCAGTTCCAGCCCTGGGTAGCACTTTCACAAAAGCTTTACTCTATAAGTTACAGAAAAAACTATATAAAATAGGTGTATTTTTAAAAGAATTACCTTGTTGTTCTATCATTATTAGAACTACTAAAATATGTTGCGTGTAAAAGTGTTATCCTGAGCCAGTTGTAGGCACGGTACACGTACTGGTGCACATGTGAGCACATGATCAGGACGGAGCAGCTCTGCCTCGTTTTGAGCCGGAAAAACCCTGTATATGTAGTCATGAGCGCTGCTTTTGCTCTTATCATTTCATTTTTATACTTGATCAGTAAGAATTTTCTTTTTATCAATCACATTTAGTTTATTGACCAAGTCGGTTATTTATCTTTCCGTACTCCTTCGGTTCTCGCTGCTTGGGGCTGTTTGTCGAGTTTAGTGAAGGTTCTTTTCCCACTGACACACGAGTGCAGTATGTGATGTTTGTGCAACGCAAGAGCGAGGAGCATGAAATTAGACCTAAATGTGTGAGAGTTGGCTGCCCAGCTCCTCCATATAGGGCAGAGGTGGGAAACTGAGGGGCAGAGTCCAGTACAACATTTTGTGTGTGTGTGTGTGTATATGTGTGTATATATATATATATATATATATATATATAATGCATGTATCAGCGGATGCTGAGGCGCAACGCAAAGGTCGCCAACTTTCTGCAGAGTCAATCGCTACAGACTTCGAAACTTCATGTGGCCTTCAGATTAGCTCAAAAACAGTGTAGAGAGCTTCATGGAATGGGTTTCCATGGCCGAGCAGCTCCATCCAAGCCTTACATTACCAAGCGCAATGCAAAGCGTCGAATGCAGTGGTGTAAAGCACCACCACTGGACTGTAGAGCAGTGGAGACGTGTTCTCTGGAGTGACCAATCACGCTTCTCCGTCTGGCAATCCGATGGACGAGTCTGGGTTTGGTGGTTGCCAGGAGAACGGTACTTGTCTGACTGCATTGTGCCAAGTGTAAAGTTTGGTGAAGGGGGGATTGTGGTGTGGGGTTGTTTTTCAGGAATTGGGCTCGGCCCCTTAGTTCCGTCCCCTTAGGGCCAGAGTCCAGCATGACATGGTGATTTTCTTGAAAGGAGCTCTTAATGCTTCAGCAGACCAAGAGATTTTGGACAATTTTATGCTCCCAACTTTGTGGGAACAGTTTGGGGAGTTTGGCCCCTTCCTGTTCCAACATGACTGCACACCAGTGCACAAAGCAAGATCCATAAAGACATGGATGAGCAAGTTTGGTGTGGAAGAACTTGACTGAATTGAGTCCTGACCTCAGCCTGACAGAACACCTTTGGGATGAATTAGAGCAGAGACTGCGAGCCAGGCCTTCTCGTCCAACATCAGTGTCTGACCTCACAAATGCGCTTCTGGAAGAATGGTCAAAAGTTCCCATAAACACACTCCTAAACCTTGTGGAAAGCCTTCCCAGAAGAGTTGAAGCTGTTATAGCTGCAAAGAGTGGGCCGACATCATATTAAACCCTATGGATTAAGAATGGGATGTCACTTAAGTTCATATCCGTGTGAAGGCAGACGGGCCAATACTTTTGGCAATATAGTGTGTGTACATTTTATATATATATATATATATATATATATATATATATATATATATATATATATATGCACACACACACACACACACACACTATAATATTTTACCTGACTACACTTGATTGCCAAGGATTTCAAAAGAGCTACACAGTGAAACTGCTTAAGAATAGCCTTTAGCTGTTTAGCTGAAACTGTGTGTTTTTTTTTATGAGGCGTCTTCGTCATATTTTCTGTTGCCTCCAGCTGTCAAAAAAACTCTGACCTGTTATTGATCATATTTAGTTTACTGACCAAGTTATTTACCTTTCCATTTTCCTTCGGTTCTCATCGGTTGGGGCTGTTTGTCATGTTCAGTGAAGGTTTTTCTTTTCCCACTGACACAATATGTGACGCTGCATCACAAGAGTGATCTGAGAGTGTGAGATTAGACCTAAATGTGTGAGTCTCACGGTCAGTACGTGAGAGTTGGCTGCCCAGCTCCTCCGTATAGGACAGAGTTGGGAAACTGAGGGCCAGCATGACATGGTGATTTCCTTGCTCAAGTAGACCAACCACACCTGGTAACTAACTGATGAGGTGAATCAGGTGTTACTGAGCTGGAAAATCACCAAACTGTGCAGAAATCCAGCTCTCAGGACTGGAGTTCACCACCCTTGTTTTATGCCTCTTGCATCCCAAAGAAGACAAGGATAACACGGAGGAAATCTGATGCTTGTTCACTTGTTCTAGTCCTCTTTATCAATCAAGAAAATCATGTGTCATGAAAACATCTTCAGGTATCATGATATCGTATTTTTGCCATATTGCCTTCCCCTAGTGTCTGGATACTTTTGGCCGTTTTGTGCAAATAATAAAGTGTATGATGTAAATGATTTAGGGGTTTTAGGGGTGAAATGATGACCTGAATAAACTACAGTATGAGTGTTTCCGTTTTAGGCACCTGCTGGTTGGGTGCTTCAGTGGTCATCTCAGTGATGGGCAAGTATTTCTTCAACGAGACGGACATCAGGAGTGCGTGGGAGCATGTGCTTTCTGCCTTCTGGCAGAGGTACCCCAACCCTTACAGGTACCTGCAGTCTGTTTTATTGCCCTCCAGCCTCAGGCCCTATTTTCAGGGGCTGTCTTTGCCCTGAGCATATTAGGCATATATATATAGATGCCCTAGGTGCCTAATATTTATATAAAATATATATAAAATAACTTCAATTTTGGAGTATCTCAAACGGTAATGGTTAAATTAGAAATAAAGGTTCTGTTCAGGTACATTTTTCGTTCATCAAGGTACAAACAGTGTAAATGTTCCCTCAAAGGTTCTACAGTGGTTTTAAGGTCTGATTGTGAACCTTAAATAAGTTTTTCCAGGTGAAAAGTTCGTATTTGTACCTTTTCATAACCAAATGTTTTAAAACAGAACAATAAAATAAAAAGCCTGGAGACGAGACGGGGTGTGTGGAGTCAGTACAGCTTAGAAAATATAATTTTAATGGATTATGGTACAGTTATGTTCCCTGACTAAAGGTATTGAGATGAACTGCCCAGGTGACAGTTTCCTATCTTTTTTATATGAGCCAATACATTTATAAATAAGACATAAACATAAATAAGCAAAATTATCTGCTTTTATAGTGAGATAACTTACAACCCCAAATCAGAAAAAGTTGGAACGATATGGAAAAAGCAAATTAAGGAAAGAGAGCAGTGATTTCTAAAATGTACTTGCTTTTCATTGCACACAGTATAAACACAGATACATCATATTTCGTCTGGTCAGTTTAATGTAATTTGTAAATGTACATCCATTTCTGCCATTCAGCCCAGCAACGTATTCCACAAAAATTAGGAAGGGGGCCAGTTTAGGGCTAGTAATGAGGTACAATAATTACATAATGTGATTTGAAACAGGTGACATCAACAGAGGATTATAATCCTGATTTGGTTCAAAAGCAGCACCCAGGAGAGGCCTAGTCCTTTAGGAGCAAATATGGGCTGAGGAACGCCAGTTTACCAACAAATGTGTGAGAAAATGATTGAAATGTTTGGAAACAGTGTTCCTCAATGAAAGATGGAAGGGATTTGGATATTTCACCCTCTGCAGTGCTTAACATAGTTAAGGAATCTTTGGCCCTTCAGACGGCACTGCACACAAAACCATCAGTCATCTACAAGCTGTATAACTACAATCACTCTCAGGATTACTTCAGCAAACATTTGTCAAGGCCTACAATATGTAGTTATTTCAATAATTGCCAGTTAAAACTTTACGTTAAGTTAACCTTGTCCAGAGGCACTGGACCATCACACAGTGGACACACGTAAAGTGGTCAGACGAATCAGTATTTCAGGTCTTTTTTTGGAAGAAATGGACGTCATGTGCTCCAGACCAAAGATGAGAAGGTCCATTCAAAAGTCCAAAAGCCAAGGTCTGTCAGGGTGTGGTATTGTGTCAGTGCCTTTGGCAAAGGTAACTTACACTACTGTAACGGCACCATTAATGCAGAAAAGTACATAGAGACATATTCTGCCTTCAAGACAACATCTTTTCCAGGGACGCCCTGCATATTTCAACAAGACAATGAAAAATCTGCACATAATACAAAGGCATGGCTGTAGAAGAAGAGGGGGCGGGTGCAGTCCTGACCTGTCCCTAATAGGGAAAGTGTGACACATTTTAAAATGCAAAATGAAGACCCCACACTTTAAACTTGTTTGCAGGAAGAATAGGGCAAATTTACACCTTCATCACTTGGTCAATCAATCTCTAAATGTCTTTCAAGTGTTGTGAAAAGAACTGGCAACATTACAAAGTTATCAATGCTTTACTGTTCCAACTTTTTAAAAATAATGTTGCAAAAATCCAATTTTCAATGCAATACAGGTCAAAAATAATTAACCAGTCACTCTTTTCAGTTTTAATTTTAATTTAACATACTGCCCCAACTTTTTTTGATATGTGGTTGTAACATAATAAAATTACGCAAGTAAAAAATGTCTAGAAATATGTTAAATAATAGTATTCCTACGACAGTCTCAAAATGAAAAATGTTAGATATATTGATTAGAAATTCAGTTTTACGCAGTGTTGATGACTACACCACTTGGGAGCCCAGAGCCCCAACTAATTTAAAAATGTGTCACCAGGGGGTGCCATTCCTGTCTTTTGCCCAGATCACTAAATCCACTCCTGTCTGTTTTAGCCAGATACTCGAAACTGTACCAGCTGACACTGACTGGACAGCTTTGTGAAACTGGTCAGTGTAAAAAGTGGCTTTAAAGTTGCCCCTTGGCTGGACTGGGATTTGTCCAGTGTCAGAGATGGAATTATGGAATGTCTGAATCTGTTTGTAAAACCGATAGTTTCTCTTCTAAAATCTGATTGGTTAAGCCAAGTTTGAAGGCGTAAAATACTTAATATACATGCACACGTATCAGTTGATCTCTGTATTAATAGTGAATTCCACTAACATTTTCAAATTCCTGTGTAATTCAGTAGTTCATCGTAGAGAATCGTATAGGCTCAGATGTCTTTACAGTGGTGGTGATGGGAACCAGGGGTCACTATGACCACAACACAGACATTTTATTTACTGTGCAAAAGCACCAGTGAACCTACACGAGTCTTCTTTCTTTCTCTAGAATGGAGCATCTCACACCAAACCACTCTGAATGACTTTGAAAACATCTTGACTATTTAGTTTTGCAGAATTTTTAAAAAATCAGTGGAATTCTCCTTTAATCGCTCTATTTTGTCTCCCTCTTACTGCATCTTTCTCTTTCTTTTTTCTTTCTCTCTTCTCTTTCTCCCTCTTTCTCTCTCTTTCTTTTTCTCTCTTTCTTTCTCAGTACTCATGTTTTGACCGAGGATGTGGTTTTTCGGGAAGTGACTCCAGATAACTGCCTCCTGTCCCGACGCCTCCTTACAAAGACCAATCGGCTGCCTCGATGGGCGGAGCGCATCTTCCCAGGCAACCTGTCACGTTACGTTTACATCGTAGAGGACTCAATCGTCGACCCCAACAACAGACGCCTCACTACTCTAACCTGGAACTTAAACCACTCAAAATTAATGGTAAATAACACAAACACACACAAAGAAATGACTGCACTTCACTAAGAATGTAAATCCTTAAACAAGTGATGGAGCAGAGGTTTGCTTTCTGTATCTATATGCATTAATATTACTGCTTTTTTGCTGAACTTAACATAATGTGAAAGTTAAACATAAAATGTGGCTTGTGCGAAAGTTTTAAGTTAAACTCAGCAAATAAATAGAAATTATGCACTAATTTAGCATAAAATGCCATACTTAAGTGTGTCCTCTTGATGAGGCTGTGCAAACTTTTGCACGTGACTATGCCTGTCTGTGTGTGTTATCAGATGGTGGTGGAGCGCTGTGTGTTTCATGGTGAGCGTGAGAGGCCTGTGTGGACTCGTCTCACTAGAGAAGCTTGGATCTCATCAGGGGTCTTCGGGCTGTCCAGACCAATACAGGTAACACAAAAACACACCTGTACACAAAGGTAGCACACACAGACACACCTGTACACACAGGCATTTTTCTGCTGTTTTTCCAAAAAGTTTAATTTGTGTAAATTCGTGCTCAAGTAAGGACCAGCAAAATGTCCTCACTCGAGCAAAAATGTCATGTTGCCCTATCATTGTGAGAACATATAGTGTAAGTATAGTGAAACAAGCACCAACGCACCTGTATGTACAGATAACACACAAACACACCGGTACATACAGATAACACACAAACACACCTGTACATACAGATAACACACACACACACCTGTACATACAGATAACACACACACACACCTGTGCATACAGATGACACACATACACACCTGTTCATACAGAACACACAGACACCTGTACGTACCGGAATCACACAGACACACAAAATGCATGCACATTCAGGTGATGCAGAACACACCTACATATAACTCAAATAAGTAATTAATGTTCATCTGAATTAAGTGCAGCACCAAGCAGCACACCAAAGATACACACAGTGAGAGGGAAAAATTATTTAGACACTTTTGTCTTCAATATTTAATATATAAAAGTATTTCTTCAATAATAGAAAATGGTATATTCAAAATTAAAATTGTATTCATAAACTATGTTTAAAAAAAACCCAAAAAAACAAAAACTGTTTCTTTCTGAAGGCTCAACCAAGGTCAGTGGGCTTGATTGATGTTCACCTTTAAACAAGGCTGAAGTTGGCTTGTTATTTGCCAGCTTCTTAATCAAATGTGCCGTTCCACCTTAAATGCTACAGTTTGTATCGGCGCCAGAATGTAACTGCAGCTCCATTTAAAGTGGAACAGAAAATTCACTGAACAAGCTGATGAGTAGGACACCAACTTCAGCTCCCATATCTTTAACAGGCTCCCGTAAAACTTTAATTCAACACTGTTAGTTTGCTCTGCACATTTTACTCCAGACAGTTTCTCAAACCTTTGATGTCGAAGCAGCTTTGCTCAGTGTTTCAAATTTAAGAAGGGAGGGGAAGTTTTATTTTATTTTTATTTTCCTGCTTGTGTCTTTCAACATGTTGCTTCTGTGTGAGCCATCGCAGTGCCTCGCTGTAAACCAGCAAGTCAGAGCAGAGCTTATCAGATTATTCATGAGCGCACAATGAAAATGAAAACAACTCTTTCATTCCATGGCCAAATCATAGGGTTGTAAATGGGCGTGTAAAACCACAACTGGCCATTTTTCACCCCGACCGAAGTCACATACCTTCGAGGTAGACATCTGAGAACAATTAAAATGCTGAATAAAAGCATTCTGTGGCATCTCTAATAGATAATTGCAAAAGTACCAGTTTATAGAGTTTTATTATTTAGATAAACATGTTGATGGAGTAAAATAAACATTTTTCTCTAATTATATAAACTACTGACAACATTTCTCAAATTCCAAATAAAAATACTGTCATTTAAAGCATTTATTTGCAGAAAATGACAACTGGTCAAAATAAAAAAAAAATACATTTTTAAACCACATAATACCACTGTTTTCTTCCAGGATAACCTTGTACATGGCTTGATTAATGCATGATTCCAGATTATCACTGATCTTCCACCAAATCCCATAGTGAGTGCAAAATACTATGGCTTGTAGGCCTTTCCAGGTCTCCGTCTAACCATTAGATGACCTGGTCTTGGGCAAAGCTAAAAACTGGACTCATCAGAGAAAATGACCTCACTCCAGTCCTTATGGTCTTTTGCAAACCTCAGTCTAGCCCTTCATTGCTTCTCATGGATTACGGGCTTTTTCCTAGCTTTGCACAACTTCAGCACTGCTCTTAGGACCCTGCTTTGAACCTTACTGTGCACTTCATCCCAGCTGCCGTTTGGCGTTCTTTTTGTAGGTCACTTGATGTCATCCTACTTTGTTGAGTGACATTCAAATGAGTTGGCAGAGTTTTCACCTGTTTTCACATTACAGGTAGCAATCATCATGAAGTTGAAGGAGCTTCCTGAAGTTCTCAGAGACAACATTATTAAACAACATTCCAATGGAAAAAGCTACGGAGCCCAAACAAAGACCTTATACATTCATATCAATACAGTTTGTTCAATAATGTGCAAATGGACAGTTAATGGAACCACAACTAATCTCCTCTGTACAGGTGCATCCATGTAAGATTTCTCTTGGATTTATAATAAAGGGGGTATGAGAGAAGCCAAAAAGTGCTGCAGGGTGACCTGAAAGCAGCAGAACAGTTCTTTGCTAAAGAACAGAGAAATTAACTGCACTGTAGTCATTTCCGTTTTTACACCGCATGCAAAACTCCTCTGCTAAAAAGAAGCTCAGAGATCTGAATCTAAAATTTGCATATGAGCATTTAGACAAGCAGAACTGTTGTGGAACAGTGTGCTCTTATCAGATGAAACAATAATAGAGCGCTTCTGCCGTAATTATGCTTGTCATATTTGGAGAAAGAAAAGTTTAGTGTATGATCCCAAGAACACCCACAGTGAAGTATGAAGGTGAGAGCAGGTTTGCTGAGATGAATAGACCTAAACTGAACCACAATGCTATAAAAACGAATTTCTTCTCACTACAGACATCTCAAAACTGTAACTGCAGACTGTGGCTTTGCAATAAAGTACTAATGGCTATTAATTTGTGGTGTCTGAACACTTTTTTTTATATAAATTTTGTTTTTCAAATGTATCTATTCTTATGAATGCCTACTTTTTATTCATATTTAAAAGTACAAAATCAAGACACGGTGTGTGTAAATTTTAATTAGATATATCCACTGAAGGTTTTTTAAATAACAAAAACAAGTGTCTGAATACTTGTTTCTCCTCAGTGTACATGGAATGTATCTTTGCCTATTACAGTTCATCAGCACAAAAATGTTTTTAAGTGTGTTAAGTGGAAATGTTGCCAGAATTCTGTTTGTGAGGTTCTGATCTACTAAGCTAATTAAGTTTACAGAGCAGGTATTAACACACTGAACTATTATGTCTGTATAGGTTGTTACCTGTAGATACAAAAAAACAGAACCATTAAGAACTTTAGGGTATCCCTCTCTGCATAGTCCAAAGAAACACCTATGTCAGTATGTCAACTGGCTGGCAGTAGAGACGTCAGGCAGGAGCTGCCCATCCTCTGTATTTAGGGGTTGATGCAAAGTCATTTTATTCAGAATGAACACACCTCTTCCTCGCTTGATGCAAGGGGAGCTGTCTGTATACCTCAGATACCTCACTTATATGTTTCAGTATCTACCTGTGAGCTATGGTGACTCCCATTTTGCCAGACAAGCTCCATTGAAACTCGTACCCACATGCCATGCAAATCTGCTTGGTTAGAGATGATTCATTCCCTGGCCGGTGGGCTCTGCCCCTTATATGAGAATATGAGAAAAGTAGGCGCAGTGACAACCCGCTTGTAAAGTCTAGTAAAAGTATGAGGTGAGGTCAAACTAGCTTTTGCACAAATCTCCTGAATAGAAACATATCGAAAAAGGACCCGGGACGCAAGGCAGCGAGAGGCTGTATGCCTTTATTGGTGTAAGCTAGAGCTGTGGCCCCCACTATCCAGCATGGCAGGTGTTGTTTAGTGATGGGCTTCCTGGGGAAAGGTCTTGCCCAGGGTACGAACAGCTGATCATTTTTCCAAAACTCCTCAGCCCTGTTCAAGTAAATGCACACCGTGCACATCGGACACAGCATATGCAATTGCTGCAAACAATGGGGGGTAAAAAGCTGTCAACTTGAGCTGGAACGTTGTCGACGAATACAAAAATTTAGGGATAAAACCAGGATTTAGTTTCAACATGACCTCCAGATGCCCTGGTGTAAACTTCGGTTGCATGTTGGATGCACCGAAAATGCATGGATTTTTCTGACCCTCTCTCCTGTGCCCCCATGATACCATTGCCATGGAAGCCATCAGACTTAGAGGGGAAAGTAGGGCTGGCACAGGTCATGGTTTTCTGACCAGGATGCAGATAGAACACCACCATAGGCTTGAGTGGAGGCACGTGAGATAGGCCACTACTGTTTATGTTCATACAATCGAGCATTGATCCCCCTCTGAAAAAGATTTTTGGCAGAAAAAGGCTGACTCCAGGATCGAGGTACCTCCTCTTTGCATTCAGCGAAGTTATTTGTTGTCTAGTTACCCGCTTGGCTCCACTTCCCTCCGTAGCAGGAGCTGGTGGTCTTTGCACTGGTCCACTTTGTTGTGTGTTTGCACACATTCTGCCGATTCATGCTTAGGGGCAGTGTATTGGTGTTGCTGCCATCAGCTCGCATAACATTTGCTTGGGTGGCCTAGACTGATGGGGTGAAAGCTGCATTTATCGCAGTCCTCTTCATCTGAAAAGAGCCCATTCAGAATTGCACAGCTAGTCAGACTTGTCCTCTGCGTCCATGAGGTTCGGCTGTATGGTTGTGAAGCTGCTGAAGTCATCCATTAGTGGATCAGCATCATCAGCAGACAGTCAAACAGACTAGCATGGCGCACTAGCCTACGGCAGAGACAAAACTTGTAGTTAGATAGGTGTAGCCGCCATGACACTAGCCGAAAGCTAGCTAGCAAACTATTTAACTCGCCTCTTCTTGTTTGGAGACAATATACCTGAGCAGGTCTGCTGTTTGGAGACAGCTGAACTGTGTTAGCCTCTTGCATCTACCTATGATTAAGTACTGAAGTTGATACTACCACACTTATCTGAAGTTACCACCTGGCGACTGAGTTGTTAGCTCAGGCTGTGGACAGTTAAGCTAAGTTCCCGAGTCTGGTTTGCCGAGGCTGAGCTTATAAGTGAAGCAAGAAGAGGTTTTTGAATAACCAAGTGACGTTGCGTCAACCCTTAAATACAGAGGAGATGTGGCTTCTCTCTGACATGCATGTCCTGGCTACCATCCAATGGGGGCTGGCGTATTTATATAGATGCTTCTGAGGACTACATAGAAAGGCGTACCCATAACAAGTTTCCAAAATGAACGCTTGACAGAAAACTAAATTTATAGAAATTTATGTGGAGAGTCTAGATTCACATTTACACATTTCTGTTTTTCAGGAGTTTGGTTTGTCCAGGTTCAGAAGTAACCAAATGAAGGCCATGAAGGGTCTGGAGCATGCACTTTCTAAATTACACAGTAAGGGCTTCTCCTCTTGGTTCGTTTTTAGAGCAATTAAAGGAGAATTTGCTGATTTTCCAGAAGTCTACATAATTCAATGGTTAAGATGCATACAAAGTCAGTGGTTTGGTGTGCAATGGATCATCTAAACTTGAAAAAAAAATTATAGGGGACTATCTTGCCTTAAAATGGCCTGCACATACCTCTCCACTCTAATTGGAATTTAAAAATACATTTGAAGCCAAAATCTCATAAAGGACTATCATAAAAGATCCAGCAGCAGATTTATGATCATTTCATCTAACAGCTTTCTTTGAGGGACCTTAGAGAAGCATTAAAGAGGAATTACATTAATTTTTCTAAATTTCACCCAAAAATTTTGCATTTCAAAGTTGTTTAAAGTGGTTTAGTATGAAGTGCTCCATCTAGAAAAGCTTGACAATTCAGAACTGTTCACAGTGGTGGTGATAGGAACCAGACATCCACCTCTAAAAGCTCCCTCACAGAAAGTAATTACATGAAATGGTTATGAATTCACTGCCTGATGTCTGACATGCTGTTTCTTATGGTTGTTGGTAGATATTTTTTGTGATTGTAAATTTTGTGAATTGAGCATTTTACACTAAACTCCTCTGAATCACTGTTTATTGTTAATGATGTAATGATGCTAAAATTTCTGCATGATTTAAATCAGTTGAATTATGTTCATGTCCATTACATTTTGAATTACTTGAATTGTTTGGTAACTACTGAGAATCTAATATATGTACACCGATCAGGCATAACATTATGACCACCTCCTTGTTTCTATGCTCATTGTCCAATTTATCAGCTCCACTTACTACATAGGTGCACTGTGTAGTTCTACAATTACAGACTGTAGTCCATCTGTTTCTCTGCATACTTTGTTAGCCCCCTTTTACCCTGTTCTTCAGTGGTCAGGACCCACATGGACCCTCACAGAGCAGGTACTATTTGGGTGGTGGATCATTCTCAGCACTGCAGTAACACTGACATGGTGGTGGTGTGTTAGTGTGTGTTGCGCTGGTCTGAGTGGATCAGACACAGCAGTGCTGCTGGATTTTTAACACCTCAGTGTCACTGCTGGACTGAGAATAGTCCACCAACCAAAAATATCCAGCCAACAGCGTCCTGTGGGCAGCGTCCTGTGGCCACTAATGAAGGACTAGAAAATGACAGACACAAACTGTGCAGCAGCAGATGAGCTATCGTCTCTGACTTTACATCTACAAGGTGGACTGACAAGGTAGGAGTGTCTAATAGAGTGGACAGTGAGTGGACACAGTGTTTAAAAACTCCAGCAGCACAACGCACACTAACACACCATACCAGTGTTACTGCAGTGCTGAGAATGATCCACCACCCAAATAGTACCTGCTCTGTGAGGGTCCATGGGGGTCCTGACCACTGAAGAACAGGGTAAAAGGGGGCTAACAAAGTATGCAGAGAAACAGATGGACTACAGTCTGTAATTGTAGAACTACAAACTACAAAGTCCTATGTAGTAAGTGGAGCTGATAAAATGGACAATGAGTGTAGAAACAAGGAGGTGGTCAGAATGTTATGCCTGATTGGTGTGTGCGTCTGTGTGTATCTATGCATTATCATCAGGGATAAAGTTTGTTTTTTTTGCAGCAGTAATTGACAAACAGAAGCTGCTGTGTTGGCTTTATCATCTAAACATGCTGTTAAGGGAGCTGACAAACAGCTCACTATCATGGCTTGATTTTGGTTCCTCTTTTCAGGGACCTATTGTTTTTCACTCTGTACGATCTTGACACTTCTGCTGCTTCTCATCAGCTCTTGTGGTTTCAGATGATCATCTTTTTTTAGTCTGTGGTCAGTGGCATTAAATCAGCAGTTCTGCTTGCCCCTCTAAACTCCCAGTGGGTCTAAACCATCATTCTGTGCTTCGGAAAACTTATTACATGTTTTAGAAATGCTTATAACTAATTCATATGGTATATGTTTTAGTTTACAAGGGCATTATTAATTGCTTGCTAATTGTTTAGTAATCGTTTAGAAGCATTAAATGTTTCCCACACTTCTATAACTTAAACATAATTCGGCCAGTTTGTATTGTAGTAGGGCTGACAATAATTATGTTTCAGGGTGACAGTGAAGGTGGATTGAGCCAGAGATGCCTGGATTCTCTTTGATTTTGAGTCAGGAGCCTCTGCAGAACGTTCCATTTGTAGTTAATTTTGTGCTGTAGAACTGTCGTGGAGGCCGTCAGATTCAGTGATCTTTTTTCTGAACATCATTAATCATGACCTGATGTATTCATGAGTGGAGCAGACTGCACTGGAACATTATATCTTTTGCCACATCTTTTATCTAAAGCTTAAAGCTATTTTCTTTGACCTTTTTAGTTAAATCTGACTGAAAAAAAAAAAACAACAGACTTTGTTTTAAAGTCTGCTTCTCAACAAATACTGAACTATTAACAGTTCATACTGCCTGTGTAAAGAGGCTGTCGTGGAGGCTGTGAGATTCTGTGATCTGAGCGTTATTGATCATCACATGATGTACTCATGAGTAGTGCAGACCATACTAGAACATTATATATCTGTACAGTGTTGTGCCACATCTTTTATTTAAAGCCTAAAGCTACTTTGAGATACCTTTTCAGTTCAGTCTGAGGTGACAACCTTTTTTTGAGTTTGAGACCTTAACTAATCCAAGATATTTCGTTAAGAATTAGTTTATTTGCTAGCCATAATTTAAACTTGGCTGCGCTTAAACTCTGTCACTGTGGACATGTAAGTTTATTCTTTGTGAAAACTACCGTTGTGTTTGCTGAAGGTGTCAACCACAGCATTGTTGGAAATAGACTGGTTTTCTGCTTCTTCATCACGTCATACTGATTTGTATCACTCCTTTTTGAGTGCTCTTTAGTTAGCCCAGATCTTCAGTGTCCTTGCATAAACCCGGCAAGTTCCTAAACCTCTGTTACTTGTGCACATGCAGTGTCCTGTTTTCTTTGTCCTCTAATTTGTGAAATAGTTCCACACACATTTTCACTGTTGATCTGTTGCAGCTTAAACTGTTTAAATGCAAAGACACAAATATAAATTCTCAGTTTCATTACCATTAAAATTCTTTGTAAAATGGTAGGTTTTGACATTTTGTTGTAGTTCTGTTTTTAATCTTTGTTTTTTTTTTTCGGTCATAAAATGTATTTCTCCTTCTGAAAAAGAAAAAGGCCATTTTCAGTGGCTTAAATTTCACTGCATTCCTACCAGTTAACTACCTTGCTTGCTAGTTGTAGTTAGTTAACTTATTAGCTATAATAAATCAATAAACTGCACTGTTCTGTACTCTCAGCAATGTTTGCTCTTGCAGAGACTCATGTAAAGAGAAGCCTTTGTTCTCTTGAGAAGCATTAGTCATCTTGCTTATCATAGCATAATGCTGATATGTAATATTGTGCTGTTCTGCATTCAGCTGTGGAAAGTTCACATACAGTTGTCTATAGTGACACAGAATCATGTGCAGAATCAGACCCTGTTGAGTGTGACATTATGAGCAAAGCACTTATGTGGATGTCAGCATAAATGCTAATAGCATTAGCCTTAACCAGCATGTCACTGTAGCAAGCTCTTTACAAACTAATCATTCCAAAAATATCAGTCGACACATCAACATACAATCCTTTACATTTACAATTTACAGTGTCTAATAATTTACTCTTATTGTTGATGTAATAGTGCTTGGTAACTATTTGCTCAGTTGTCATTGGCTTCAGCTGCCGGCACTTTCCATGAATAGAGTTTATGTCCTTTTACTTTCTTAAAAGCAATGAAGTGACTACTGTTGTTTTTTTATTTCTGTAAATAAAGTGAAGGGATGTGTACTTTAACTTACAAAAAAATTGAATAAATTATAAAATTATTAAAAGTACCATTTAAATGATCACAAAAACGCATAAAATTGTCTGCTTTCACCTTTAATATGGCAGCTTTGGGCTGTCCCACCTCACTGGCGACCTTCTCAATTATATATTTTCATTACAAGCCTCCAGTAACCCCATAATTACTGTTATTAGGTTCATCTTCAAGTAATTTAATGTGAAAATAATGTTTTCACTTTCAAATTATTTAACTTAACAAAAACATTTTAACATGTCCAACATTTTATGCGCAGCCGTGTTACCCAAACCTTCTCCCCCTCGTAAAAAAATAGAACTTTCCATTTATTATGATATATACAGGAATTTGGATTGTCTTGTTGTTTACTGCAGAATGATCATCGGGCAAGTAAGTATTTTTATTTTATTTTCCTGATGTACGCAAAAAGTAGATTTGGCTGTTTCGGTGTGTGTGTCTGTGTATTTAATTAAAGATTTTATTTTTTATATATATATATATATATATGATTATTAGTAGTTAGCATGCAAAATGTGCACGCTGTCAAGCTAACCACTCCTGAATGCTGCATATTTTAAGTTAAATTTGCAACTCCGTTACCCATTATTTTAAACTTCAATTAATTTAAATGAAAATGACAAATATTTTAATGAAAACATTTGGATCAAAACAGCTTTTCAGCTTTCCCTTCTGCTGTATTTTGTAAGTTGGTTTTTATTGTATTAATATCAGCTTAATGGGGTCTGTGATCCCTGTGTTCAGACCTGTTCCTTGCTTTAACCCTCTAACCCAGGTTTCAATCCTGTTATTCGTTCATTTTGTTGAAAATAGTTGTAAAATATTTAATTTAGTAAAAATATATGTATTGCTAGAAAAAAACGAATTAATTTAACGCAGGCTTTTAAATGGCATTTATACAACTCCTTGAAATTATAAACAGGGTTGCAAAAAATACTTTACATTAAAAAAAAAAATTGGCTCATACTCTCTGATTTGACAGGCTGAGGTGGAAAAATAACATTTTTTGAAGGTTAAACACTTACTTTAATAAATTTACTTGCTTTACTTACTTACTTTGTCAAAAACACCAAAGACCAAAGAAAAAAGTACATTTTTAAACAGTAATAGACCTAAAATGAACTCCATTCACAGAAAGTGCCTGCAAGTGTTTCCAAAGCCGAAGGAGAACACACTCGAGTACCATTAGGAGCTATTTCTGTTTATCTTGGGCAGATACTAAAAAACATAAAGCTGGAACCTTCGTCACTGGACTGATGGCTGTTCCAGTTTACTGGTTCCAGAAGTTCTGATACTTTGTGCAGTGGAAAAATGACCTTTGTTTTCGTCTGGAATTGATGTCTGTATTGATTTGTATGAACTGTGGTAAGTGCTAGTTGTTGTCAAGGCCCCTTTGGCTTATTACATTGTAGTAATGTGTAGGTGGGGTCAAATGGGGTCCAGGCTCTTTGTGCAATGTGGAGACTTATGAGGACCTTTGGTAGCTAGAACACAAATGATGAGCAGTCAAGAGTGTTTAGAAAGACCATTTATAGTGATCGTTTATGAGAAGTCTTAAAACAGTGTTTGTCGGTTAAATACAGACTGATGTTCCGTTCGATATGGTAAGCACCAGATTTTAAACAAATAAGTCAAAATACTCACAAAGCAGCGGAACAATCTCTCATATTTCCGTGTATTTTTTAGTTTGAGTGCACAAATGTGTGTAGTTTTCATGGTTAATTTTAATTGGAAAGCATGTGTTTACAAATGGTTGCTTAATAGCATGATACTGTGACACTGTGATACTTTTTTTTTTTTTCAACTATGTTATCAAACGGTGATCATACTGTACAAATGAACACCTCTATCATTACCACGTCTCTTCTTGTAACACTAATGCTATCAGAAAAGTACTTTAGTTGAACTCTTTTGGGTGAGGACCTTCTGTTATGCAGCTGTTCCTCAGATGTTTGGGGGACCCGATGCCATAATCTTCGGTCAGCTTCTGTGGCTTTGCATAGGTTCCTTCTTTCTTTTCCGTTTTTTTTTACACATTTGCTATTTTTTCTTTTCACCAATTCTCCTCAGGCCGTCAGCATTTTTTAGCTTGTGGTTAGTAGCTGCAGTAGATGTGTCACAAAAGAGAAAAAATGGAAGGAAGGAACAGACATGTTGTTCTTTAGCAGCTGTCTGTTCTTTAATCTGTTATGGTGTCTATTTTCTCTGAATTTTTCCCTCATCTTTATCTGTTTAGTATCAGCGGCTCAGAGTCATCATGGCGACACACCTAAAGACTCCTCAGAGAAGGCCAAGAACATGACCTCTCCCTCCAGCTCCCAGAAGCCTCAGGAATATGTCTGACAAACACAACCTTCATCTCCCACCAGCCCCCTAACTGAGAGCCTTCATATGGCAGGTCAGGTTTGGAGACACAGGCTGTTAGAAAAGTCATATGCAAAGGTTTTGTCAAATTAGATGCTTCTAAGTGAAAATAAGTAACACACCTTATACGCATTTTTGTGCACAATGTAATGCACAGGTTTTATTTATTTGATTAATTAAACTTATTGGGAAATAAATAAAACATACAGTCAACTCCAGAATTATTAGCACCCTTCATGAAAATGAGTTTTTATACATACACACTCCCACACATGCAGTAAGGGATATTTGGGTTTTTTACACTGTGTAGATTTTTTTTCCTCTAATTTTCCTAAGAAGCATAATTTGAGAACATAGTTTCTAAAAATACTGGCACTCCCATTTTTAACATTTGGTGAAGAGAATGGAGAGAGAACAACAGTATTCTGTAATGCTTCGCAAGGTTTGAGAACACTAGTTGAGGGGTCTTGGACCGCTCCTCCATGTATTTCTTGATATCTTGGGTCTTCATTGTGTGTCACAATAACATTTATCATGATAACGATAAAATAATGTCATATTGCCCATCTCTACTTGCAACCATTTCTGTGTGGTTTTTGATGTGTGTTTGGGATTATTCTCTTGCTTAGAATGTCCACCCACAGCCAGGCTTCAACATTCTTGCAGATTTTGGACTAAAATCTCCTGGTATTTAGACTTCATTACACTTCATTACACACCACAAGATTTCCACACTTCTAAAACAGTTATGTTAAAAACAAGACATTCTGTCCTTAACTAGACAGATAGATGAGTTCACTTAAGGGCAAGACATTCTGTGTTAGTTTTAACACAGTGTTGAAATATTAATGTGGCGGTTTAACACATCTTACTTTTAACAAAGATTGTGTCAGATTCAAGACTGAGCTAAACTGTGCAGTTCTGAAACTGTGATCTTTGAGTTCCTTGTTGCTTCTCGCATGGGGAGTGGTGTCTGGGTGGGGTGTTCTAAATGCCAACTTCAACCGACCACTAATTTTTTACAATTTCCTCCTGATCTGTGTGGGTCGACATCCGTCTGTTTCTTTTGAGTTGGCGTCTCTTTGGTTTTATTCATGTAGATGAATGACAGAGGGATGTTACATGTGTGTAACTTGTTTGCACTCCAGGGAAACAAGAAATGGTCATAGACTACAACTGAGTTCTAGGAGGAACATTTATTATTTTTTATTGTTGTTTTTTTGTTTTTGCCCAGTTTATTGAAGGGAGCCAGTAAGTCTTGAGTTGACTGTAAATATAAAATGTTCCATAACCTGCACAGGCCATAGTGTGTTTATTTTTCAATATGTTAAATTCAGCAAATAAACAGTAATTGTGCATTGCAATGTTCAGAAGTTCTTGCTCTGTAGAGGAACTTCAAATCAACAAAATGTTTTATTTGCCCAGGATTGTCCAAACTTTTGCATATGACTGTGTATGATTGTCAGGCTAGACATACTGTTTGAGTGAAAAACTTAAGGTAAGTTATTAGGATATTAAAAGTCTTGTTTATATAGGGAAACTGTTTATAAGTAAGATACATGGTGTTCAGTGGCTGATATAAGATCCACAACTTAGTAACGGTTGATGAAAGCCCTTGTAGATGTACCACAGAGCTTTGGCAATCCTTGCTGGGGCTTTTAAAGTGCTACTGTGACTGTTATTTCTCTCAGATACATCACTGCTTTAGCCTGCCTGCATGTACCCTAAAGGGTGAAGACATATGGTTTAATGAAGTTCTTTTTTTTGAGCCCAACTTTGCTAAATATTCTCAAACAGCATGTTCATCAATCAGAAAATAATCAATAAATGATTGGAAATGAGCTCTATGGAGTTGCCAGGTTATTAGGTCCACCTTCCTACACTCATTGAAACTCCTATCATACAGATTCATGCTGTAGGTTTACAGTTACAGACTGGAGCTTGTCTGCACAATTGATCACCCCTTCTGTTCCAGTGTCACTGCTGTGCTGAGAATGGACCACCACCCAAACAATATCTGGTCAGTGGTGGTCCTATGGTGGTCTCTTTCCCTTGATGGATGAGGTAGAGGAGGGCTAATGAACTGTGCAGCAACAAATGGGCTAATTCTTGTAACTGGACACCTACAAAGTGCACCTATATTATAGGAGTTTCTGTTGAAGTAGCTACGAGGCAGATGAAGCTAATAAACTGGGAACTCGGTGTATTTAGCTGTCTTGAAAGCTGTGAAGCTGAACTGTATTCTGCATATGAATCCTCAGGGACTGAATGACTTTAGTTTACTTGAAATGTAACCTGACTCGCATTACTCAAGTGAGCGTAACACATCTAATATAAGAAATGAACTAATTTATTCATTCTTTTTAGGTTATAGATCTCAATTTTATAGCTTCACAAGCAATAGATGTTAATTTTTGCATCTGGAACACATTTTCATTGAGATGAAAAGTATGTCCTTTTGAGAAATATAGTAAAGAGTTTGGTAAAAAAATGTGAATTGTTATATTTATTCTTTGTTTCACAATGAAGGCTAATAAATGGTTGATACCACCTTTTAACATGATGATATGACTTTACACTCTTTTTTGGCCCATCATACCTCACATTATATATATCCTGCTTCCCCTTACCACCTAACCTCACAGATACATGAGTGTATGTTTCTAGGTTACTAGAAAATACTTTAGGAAAGTGTAACTCAGTACTATGACTTTCTGAGAGATGTAGTGCTATAGACGTGAAGTGTGGTGTTTGTTTTTTGGGATTTTTTTATTTTATTTTATATTTATTTATTTATTTATTTGTGTGTGACCTTAAACTCTCAAGAATGATATGTACTCTTGCATGACTTGCAATAAGTATTGCAGTATTTTTGGTTATAACTAAACTTCCTCTTTAAGTATGTGGAAGTTCCGTTGGTTTTAATGGCCAGTCTGTCTGCTAGTTTGCTGAAAGTCCTCTGAAACCCTTGTTGACTCTTAGTTTTTTTCTTCCTATTGCTAATTGATAATCTTCACTAATTCTACTGGCATTGCAGTTAGTATGATAATGTACATTTAAAACCTTGTACGACAGTCAAAATTGAGATTCTTTAGTCTTTTAAAGTGGTAATTTGGGTTCCAGAAACACAATATAGACTGTAGAAATAGTAATAAAATAAAATTCAGTGGAGTAAATAACAAGGAAGATAAAGTAAAAAGGAATATTATAGTTTTAAATAATTTTCTTCTTGTTAGGATCCATTCTGCTGCATATCATCTAGGGAATATTTATTTTTTTGAAAAGTCCACTAAAAAGGACATAACAATAATCAGTTCTGTTTGTAACAAATGCATATTTTTCTGCATTGCTCTCAGATAGATAAGGCCTATCGTAACCAATAATCCTTAAAATAGATTATTGGTTACGATAGGCCATTATTTTAATTCTTAAAATAATGATAAAATTCAACCTAGTAACATTATTTATATAAGGAATAAAACTGATCTGAATCTAAAATTACACCCAGCTTTTATACCTCAGATTTGACAGATTAAGTAGTTTACATCCTTATTATGCCGCACACGATTTCTCCTAATTACAGATTTTTCCTAATTACATTTTCTAGAGTACAGTGGGAAGAGCAGCGGCCCTGAAATGGAACCTTGTGGAACTCCAAAGTAAACTCTAAAATAAACAAATTCGCAAGGCAACAACAAACAGTCTGTTGGTCACTTATGATTTGAACTCTCCTAAATCTGTGCCTGACTACCCAGTTTTTAAGCCCATAGATTTGCATTTCGTGATCAACTGTATTATATACTGTAAGATCCAGTAGGAATGTGATGGTTTATGTGAATTTACTTAAAGAGAGAAGGTTTGAAATGGCTCTAAAATTGCTAAGCATGTTTTAAAGTAAAGGCTTCACCAAGCCTGTCTTAAAAGCATAAAATTAGCTGACAAAACAGTTTACAATATTTAGTACATCATTCTGCACACAACTAAAGGCCTTCACATATGGAATATTGGCAATAATCTAAATAAACAACATGACAAATACAGAAATGTTCTTTATTGTTGGAAGCTGCTCAAATGAAGTTCAATAGCTAAAAACATACACAAAACTAAGTGAATATTGTATATATTAATGTTATTAACACTGAGAATTATAGCTGAGAAAATTTATCTAATTTTATGTACAAAAAGGCAGTTTGATTGAATACAAAACATTGTGAAAGTCCTGATACAATTCAACTCCGCATAGCACCTTAACATTGACTAGTGGCCAAGAACCATATGTGCTTTTGTATGACTTGTGTAATTATTGCACTATTTTTGGTTATAAGCAGAACTTCCTCTTGAACAATGGTGAAATACCCTTGGTTTTTACTAGCAAATTTGCTTGTGCTGAAAGTTCTCCAAAAACCCTTGTTGACTATTTTTGACATCCATTTTTACTGTGAGATGAATGGAGATCAAAATTTCCTCATGCAAAATTTACTCTCACATTTGTTAATGAGATCAAATTTCTCATGAATCAGTTTCTTACAGAGGATTAATGCTTGCTGTGGAAATCCAGGTGCTTCCTCCATTTCACTTAGCAAAGTCATCATATGAAACAAAAATATACAGAAAAGAACATCACACATTGAATAAATGCACAGCCAATTAAACAAAAAGCCAGAATAAACATTAATTTAAAAGCAAACGTCTAGAGCTCATTTACAAAAGCATATATTCCAACATATGTATTAAAGACATTAATATATTGTCACTGTCCAAGAAAAAAAACATGCATCTCTAAAATAATACTTTTACAGGAGATGCCAAAACATTAACTTTTTAACCTAGACCAGTGCACAGAGCTTTCATTCCAAGTCATTTTAGATCATTTCTACTGAAATTTTCACACAATTTAAAAGACAGTTGTTGTGTTCTAATGAAGAAGATAAACACCAGTGTCAAAAAATGCATGCCCTTTTTTTGCACAGGGACAATATTTACAACATTGCTAGCCTCAATTGTCTTACATTATTTGTGTCACAACAGTGGTATATGACCTGGTCAGCAAGGGCCAGTTCCAATAAATATCATCAAGGAAAGGGACGTGCGGCAGACATGTTCCTTTCCTCTTCTTAGGATCTGTCGCTTTTGTACAGTTTGTGCGCCCCTGAACAAATGACCTTTTTATTGATTTTTCAATAAAAATTTATTGAAAAATTTTATTGAATTTAACACACCCTCCACAGGGAAATGCAGATGTCTAAACACCCCTGTTTTGTTAACTTTTCCATTTGACTGTAGATGTTCAGTAGAACTATTATGGGAATCAAACATATCCCTGTTGTTGGAAGAAAACCTTGTATCTCCAAAATGACAACTTTACAGGAGAAGGAAAAAAAAATATTTTACTTTTAATGTAAGTCAATGGAACCACACTTTATTTCCAAGTCATTTTGTTCCATTTCTTTTGGTCCATTCTTCATGAAATTAGCACACAATGTAAAGGGCAACAAGTGTTTTCATATTATGTAAAAAATTTGAAAAACGACAGAAATGGAGATATGAGGTTTTCTTCCGACAGCAGCACAATACTTTTTAGAAGGCTGTTTTACCTACAGCTAGGCCACATTTGGCTCCCTGGACCACCTCTGTGTAGCACTGATAATGTAATATGTGCACTTTTTCCACATATTCACTTCATTATTGTCTGAGTAATATCACATATTAGTTATTTAAAAGCACTACTAAGAAACTGTTACACATACATTTTTTTTTCTATCAAACATATGATGACTAAGAACAAAACCTTGTGTCTCCTTTGTATTTTTTTTTTCCACCATTTGAAAACACCAGCTCCCTTTTATATAGTGGGAACATTTCATGATGAGTGGACCAATAGGAAAGGCCCAAAATGACATAGTCGTATGCATAAGTTTGAAAACTCCCTGATCAAATGACATGTTGATTTAAATAAGATGTAGGGTGAAAATATGTTAATTTTTACATTCAGCAAATGAATAGTAATTGTGCATTAACATGTGCATAATTTGACCAGGGCGAGCAAACTTTTGCATATGACTATACATTGCATGTATTAAAGTTAAGGACATTTGGTAACATGTTATTGTAGGTTATGTTCATTAAACTACAGAACAGCTACATAAGCCTTCTCATAAACCTACATAAACGTTTATAAATGTTAATAATAATAAACAGTATTAATCAATAAGAAGCAGTTCTCATAAAAGCTACTTTTATCGACATAAGTCTCAAGTTGATGCAACACCAACATGACAGATTTGTGCTGATATTGTGTCTTAACACTTTATGGGTGAAATGATACAGCATGTTATGACAGCTGACTTTCTAGTCGCATATATATATTTTTTTTTTATTTTTTTTTTACAGTGTCTCCTGTTTCTAACAGTGTCCATTTCATATGCACTTCTTCAAATACTACACTGGACATTTTAACCTGACAAGATTTCTAGCACAAATCATTTCTAAAAGTGACACAAAATGGTCTGAAAACATCCTACATCATACTTTTCAATGAGAATTGAATATTTTGTAGAGGAAAACAGTTTCTTACAGCCCCACCAGCAAGAGAGAAAGAAAAGGCGTGGCACCATGAAGCAGCAGATTAAGTGTCAAAACAATCAGCAAAAAACAACTGAACAAACAGCTCACTTTACTCATAAAATAATATATATATATATAACTAATTTCTGTGCTTTTAGCAATACTGTTAGGATTCATAACATCTTATAAACAGCAAAATTAAATTCATTTTACTGAAGAGGTTGAAAAAATAAACATAACTCTGTCATAACATGATCAGAATCAAAACCCTCACAATAGAACTACAATACAGTAGATTTTCAGTGCTACCACAAAGTGTCAAAGCATCTTTTTAGAAGCGCCCACCTTTGATTTTGCAGCCTCACTTGTAAAGTTGTGTTACATAATCACCATTATGTGTTTGGCATTTGACCAAAAAACACACTGAGGTACAAAGTTGTCAACATGCTGTGTTTTGTATTTCACCCCAGAAACTGTAATGATCCCTAATATCAGTAAAACCTGTCACTTGATCAAGGTGTGTTAACTCAACATTGAAGTGAACACAAAAGTTGCTTATTGGAAAAAGCCTTTATAAATGTTTATGTAGGTTCATGTCAGCTGTCATGTAAGGCATATGAACATGACCTACAATACAACATCACTGAACATCTTTCCTTCTTTGTCAAATTACTCTTTTGGAGATATAAGATTTTCTTCCAGCAGTGACTATTTTATTTGAAGCAGACACTACAAGCTAACAGCTTTTAACAGCCTGTTTTAATAGGATATAGAAATATTTGTGCTGTTCTAGCAGCGAAGCTCATAAGCTGTCTGATCATACACTCACATTCAAGCAAACCTACATTAAACATAACGTACTTTCTGCAGAATCGTATAATGTAACCACTGCAGAACACACTAACATCTATGATTCACACCGAGCCATAAAAATAACTACGGCATGGCTTCAGCTATCACAGCTTTAAATATGTGGTGCTATTTCTGTTTTGTGTTAAGTGTCACCTTTTTTCTTTCCACTCAGTCACCAGTTTGATAGCCTCTGGTACTCAAATGTATGGTGGTGGTGTTATTGTCTGTTTACAGCACCTCTACAGAGGCAGAGAGTGCAGAAAAGAAACAAACTCGCTCCTTTATTCCTTGCTTTCAGTTGTGTGTTGTAACCTTCTAGCCTGTACGCAGCAAGACCTGATATGAGGCAAGATTATTATGATATAATGGTAGAATAAATTGGTGTCTTTGTATTCGTATTGAATGCAAGACGCTATTAAGAAAACCACAATAGCGGCAAACTGAAATACAGTATAAATAGCCGAAACTCCATTAAAAGATGGAGCAAACTTTACCGAAGCTACATAAGTTCAGCTGAGGCTGGCAGGCAGAGAAATACAAAGCTGACCTCCTCTTTTATTTTCTGCTTTGGAAATGGGTAGAAAACAAAACACACTACTCTTTTATAGGATGTTGGGTATTTTTAAAGTCTCCTCTTATGACCAGATCTCGAAAACACTGGCGTGCTGCGACCTAAAATATTGACCAAAGTATTGGCCAGCAATGGCTGCTTAGCAGTGATTTTAGGGCTACAATGGACGAAAAGCTCCGCCATGCAGAAGCATTGCGGAAGAGTGCAGATAAACACTAAGCTCTAGCTTACCCTGTTCTTGTAGATTTAATGGAATAAAACTTTCACATCATTTCTGCAATTAATCATGTTTCGTATCAACTAACTGTTGACAAACAGTCAGTCTTTTCAGTCTTGATGTATGAGGTGAACGAAGTTACAACTCGACTGGTTTAGTAAAGTTACATGATGTAATAGACTGGTAACCTTCTCTGTCTCTCACCCCTTTCTTAGTCTATTTCCAAGCCACATGTCAAAAAGTTGTAGTAGTTGTGGTTTCATTCTGGGTTGAAATTAATGCAGTTGCAGCAAGTTTCAGACCCACACTGTGGGTTTCACAGAAACAGAGCAGAACTGCACACAGACTTGCCAGTGTGCATATAACCTTAAGAAAATGAGGCTTTGGCTGCAGAGGCGATTATGCACCAATAACATAAAACACAGAAGTGGTTCACAGGCCTGTATGCAAGTGCATGTCCTGCATACCCAGACGCTACGCCACTGTGTAGACATATATAAGGGAAAACATGTTTTTGTAACTATTATTATTTTTTGCCAGGCTTCACACTGGCATAAACAGTGGGCTCTTCAGCGTCCTTTTGAGCCTTGACAGCTACAGATGAGATGGTCACTTTGTCCTGAAAGGAAATACACACACAAACATCATAATGTTGTCTGGTTTTATTCTTTCCACACACATCACTGCCTTCTAAACCCAAAGAACCATTTGTAATGATTCCTGATTGAGCATGAAAAGCGCTGAATGATGTTGGTTTCAAAACTGTGCAAAAGTCAGAGACCACTCTTTCATTTATTGACCTTCTAGTCAAAATGTCCACTACGCAAGTTGTTCATTTTCAGTGCCCAGAAAAAAAGCAAGGAACATAAATAACAGACAATTGTCCAAAAGCCTGCAAGCCTGCTTTACTAAGCAGGCTGACACCAACTCTTTAATCCTTCTTATCCTAAAACCAATCAGGTACAGTTCCTCCCAAAAAAAAAACTGTGCACTCACATCATGTTGCCCTTCAAACAGACACCAACATGAACACAGGCAACTAACTCACCTTAGCTACCTTCAGATTTCTTTCTCACGAGCATCTAAAATTGCTAAAGGGGATATTTCTGAATAGATTAGACAATCCACATGAAATAAGTGAAACAATAGGAGGTTCCAAAACTGGAGTTCAAAATTGATTAAAAGCTACAGAGAAAATGGGACTTCTAACAACCACCTGCAAGACCTGCAGCCACCTGTAAACCACCAAAATCTGCCCCATCAGATTAAACTTTTGTCTTTGAGAATGAGGAGAAAATCAAGCTCCATTCTTGCTTCAGATCTGAAAAAATCCACAAGTGTTTCTGAGCAGACAGCCTACACTGTGAGTCTGAAAGGGTGTTTGGCTGTCAAGAAGGTCTTTGGAAGATGTTTTAAGGTCATTGGAAGCAACAGAAGGTAGTATTTACACTACAGATGCACTAAAATAATCTTCAAACCATGTCTACAGCAAGACAACAACCTCAAACACGCTGCTGAAAATCAAGATGTACTTAAACAAAGCTGCAGGTGTTCTCAGAACAATGGACTGACCACAGCAGAGCACAGACCTCACTGAAAATACAAAACCAGCTTCTAAGACTGAACTTTAGAGGTGTGGCTACAAATTATTTCTGAAAAACTGAAAGTGGTTCTCCTAAAAAGAGAATGAAAGCTGTAATAAAAGTAAAGAGTGGTCACACTAAGTACTGAAACATATTGTATTACATTTCATTGTTGAGGCTTGTGTATAATTTTCTGTTTAATCTGTTTTCTCATTTTTCCCTCTGCTGAAAAAGAATAACTGGTACTTAATGGCTGTGTTGACTAGACGTTAAATAAATGCGGGATGAAGTCATAGTTGCTTCCTCATCTTGTGAGAGTATTAACATATTTTTATTTGAAAGATATTTACATAAACTAATCCCAAAAATGTCACGTACCTCCTGTCCTGATGATTTGGCTGCTTTACAAAAAGCTACATCCGAATATGTCACATCCTCCTCAGCCTAGAGAGAAACGTTTACGTCATTCAAAACATTAAAGGATTATCAGTTTGTACTTAATTCTCTCTATTTATCTGTAACACACACACCTGTTTTTTTGTTTTTTTTCCTTTTTTGCCATGAACTAAGGAGGAGTAGGTCACGTCATCCTAGAGAAAATATAACACAGGTCAGTCAGTTACTTAAACATGTAGTATTAGCAGCACATTCATCGAAATCTTACACATTTCTATGTATGCGCTCTGCTCGGTGTTGGTGGGTTTATTTTTCCTTGCAACAGGTGAGTAGAAAACACAAATTAATCCTAAAAGACTCACTACTGCAATGTGCTGAATGTGTGGATGTGTTTTGAGTATAAACTTCTGATGTGGTGAAAACTTGACGGACGAAACCTGACAGATGCTGTTTTCTACTTGTTTCCAAAGACCAAATAAGTCTAAAAATGTCAGTTGTGGATTTGCTTGTGTGGCAAAACTCACCATCATCTCAACATACATAGCATTATCGATGAGACCTGTTTGCTCAAAGGTGAGTTGTTTCATTTGTTGTTTAGCTGGTCATATGAAATAATTTAACTGAATAATAATGTAAATGTAATTTTTTGCTGAACCATCCAAATCGTGGTCGCTTGAAGTGAATATTGATATAATGTATTGATTAGATACACTCAATGAGCACTTTATTAGGAACTCTGTACTAATACTGGGTGGGGCCTTTATTTGGCCTCAAAACAGCCTCAGTTCCTATCCTCAGTTCTTCTGAGAATCTGGTCTATGTTGAGATGATTGAATCATACAGATTCTTCAGGTACACTCTCATGCTGCGGATCTCCCATTCTACCACATCCCAAAGGTGTTCTGTTGGATTCAGTTCCTGTTACAGGGAAGGCAACTGAAGAACATTGAACTCATTATGTTCATGAAACCAGTTTGAGATGACTTTAGCTGTGTGGCATGGTGCATTAGCATGCTCGAACTAGCCATTAGAAGATGGTAAATTGTGGCCATGAAGGGATGCACATGGTCAGCAACATTACTTCAGTTTGAGCAATGACCGATTGGTATTAACAGGCCCAAAAAGTATGAAGAAAACATTCCCCACATCATTACACCATCTCCACCAGCCTGAACTGTTGACACAAGGCAGGTTGGATCCATGGATTCATGCACTTGGCATCAAATTCTGACCGTACCATCTGTGTGCCTCAGCAAAAATTCATCAGACAAGGCAATGTTTTTTTTTCCAGTCTTGAACTGTCCAGTTTTGGTAAGCCTGTGCCCACTGTAGCCTCAGCTTTCAAAATGGCATATATATATAAAAAAAGTTGTATTATAGGGTTTAAATTATGCACATTATGGCATTTTGTTTTTATTTACATTTTGTACACCGTCGCAACTTCTATGGAAACAGATATACCATGTACTATATAGGTGCACTTAGTACTTCTACAATTACAGACTGTAGTTTATCTGTTTTTCGGCATAATTTATTAGCCCCCTTTCACCCTATTCTTCAATGGTCAGGACCCCCACAGAGCAGGTATTATTTGGGTGGTGGATCAATCTCAGCACTGCAGTGACACTGACATGGTGTTAAGTGTGTGTTGCACTGAACCTTAGAGGTAAGGCTGCAGATTTTTTGAAAAACTGGAAGTCTCTTGAAAAAAGTTGGAATGATGTAATGAAGGTAAAGAGTGAATTCACTAAATACTGAAACACCTGATGTTATATTTAATTGCTGAGGTTTGTGGGGAATCCTACTCATCCTCTGTTGAATATGATCTGCTCCCTACTGGAAAGTGGTACAGGGTACTTTGGACCACAGAAATATTTTTAAGAATTCATTTATTTCTTATGGAATTTTTCTGATGAATTCATGAACTACTCATTGATATAATTTGATGAGGCAGTACTGTAATTATACTGATGACTAGCATATTCAAAGCTGGTGTGTGTTCTGAGGTGTGCTCTTGTGTGTTGTGTTTTGTATTTGTATGTACTTTTTTTTTGGTTATTTATTTTTTTATTTTTGTGCAACTTTTCAAATGTCCAGATATGGACAATGAAGTCTATTCTATTCTTCTAGTGTGTAGTTTTTTGTTAAATATGTTTTCTCCTTTTTCCCTTTGCTGGAAAAAATAATTTGTACTTAATGATTGTGTTGACTGGGAATTATATAAATACAATATGAAGTCATAGTTGCTACCTTATTCTGTTAGAGTATTATCATAATATTTTTTAATTGAAAGATCTTTAACCAAACACTGATCCCAAAAACATATCACGTACCTTTTGTTCTGCTGATTTATTCTTACGAAAAGCTACATCTGAATATGTCACGTCCTCCTCAGCCTAGAGAGAACATTGAAGTCATTCAAAACAGTGAAGGATTTTGCAATTAATTCTTTTTTTTATCTGTCACACACACAGGGTTCAGTGTAAAAATGATGACAGTGTTTAAAAATGATGTCAAGTTTCTGTTCCATGTCTGAATGGATAAATAAACACATTATACAAACTACTTATATTTTAAAGGGCTCACTGATCGGTGGTGTGGGAGCTCACAAATAGAGGGGGGGAATCTGAGCCAAGAAAAAGCTCAGAAAAACTAAGCATGATAGCTCAGCCATGGCGAAGAGCTACACTTAAAAGAACCACACATTCTTGGCACACACACCACAGAACACATTTCAGCGTTGACTCTAACAAAAGTCATTCGTGTTGTTCTCTAAATGGGTGCACTATCCCTAAATGGGAGGTACTTGGGAGCTAAATGGGAGCATCAGTTAGCTACAAAGGCTGTACTGTGCTATGCGACCTGCCAACTAAGCTCTTGTTAGCTTAGGCAAAACACTACTGTCCTAACCACCACTATGTCTGTCACTTCAACATGAGCCTCTTGACTTTTGCTCTCTCAAACATTTTTAACATCTAAATATGTTGACAGAGCACCAGTTTTCAAAATCAAGCCTGTGCTGTGGTGTATGGCATTGTTTGGGTCTGTAGCCTGCTTGCTAAGCTAGCTTTAAGTTAACAGATCAGGTTTCAGATCCAAACACCACGTAACAGGTTTAATTACACCTTTCTGTCCCTTCTGTGGTTGTTCAACTTCTCTCAACTCAGATTTTAATTTTGTGAGTTTGAACCATGCCTTTAACATGTGGTGGTAGAATGAGGGAGGCAGGAGAACTCTGAGAACGTGGGCTGAAGTTCTAGGCAGCTTATGCCTGTAGTTAGATGGCCAAACCCCCCTCATAGTTGTGGTAGGACTGACGTAGGACTGAGGAACAAGAAGGGGATGGGGTAGTGGTGGGGATTGTGAATACTTTGTCATGGGAATGGAGGATGAGGATGTGAATTTATAGGGTGTTAGATTGGAAGAAGAAGGGGTTTCAGGCATGTTCCTTCCCCCCAAACTTTAGCTATAACATAACTACATTTTGTGAATTCAGACCATGCCTTCTACATGTGGTGGTTGTATGAGGGATGACTCATTGAGGGAGGGAGGAGAACTCTGAGAACTTGGGCTGGAGTTTTTGCCTGTAGCTAGAAGGCCAGACCCCCAAAAATTCCAAGATGAACTCGAACATGAAACTGTTAAGGTCTACGACTGAGTGATTTTCATATGATGAGAAAGACAGATGTCCAGAAATCTGTCCTGCAGGAGTCTGAAGTGACAAGAAGTGTAGCTGCTTGGGTAGAGAACTTGGTATGAGTATGACAGTTGAATATGGAGGAGCTGGATTTGAATCAGGTGTTGGTCAAACAGTCTAGCATTTGGGTATCAGAGTAAGGCATAGTATGGTTAGGTAGAGATGTTTAGCCTAGGCAGAAAAGAGGTCTAGATATATTGGTCCTTTGTATGGTGCTTGGAGTAAGTAGTTTTTCTACTAGAGTTGTAAGATGGAGCACATTAATTTGATTCAGGGTGACCTAGTGGCATGCTGCATAACATCCAGGTCTGAACTGTTGATGAGGAAACCAAAGACAACAGCAGCAAGGAAAAAAATCCAGTGAGGAAGAAACCTTGAGAGGAACCAGGACTTGACAAGGGAACCTGACACTGGATTGTGAAGATCATGTTAAACATGGTAGGCAGAGGGGTTGGATGAGAGTAAAGCAGATTATATCCTGCTAAATGAAATGAACATGGAGCAGGGATGGCTGTTAGAAGGTAGTTGCTCCATATGGGGGTTGATGGGCTTGATGACAGGCAACTGAATGATACTCTTGCCACTGCAGGAAGTTTGGCATGGAAAATCCTGTTGCCAACAGCAAAGTTGTTTATTATGGCATTGGATGAGGATAACTTGCTTGGAATTTAAGCCCCCAAAAGGCCAGAAATTGTGATGGCACATGGCTCCCAGGGACTGAGAGCGGAATGGGATGAGAGAGTGATGGCAAAAGCATGAGGGAAGTCAAATCAGCAGTGGCAGAAGAATGGCCGAAATGACTAGGAGAGCAGCAGGTTCCAAGGGGCACAGGCAGCATTTTCATAAACGAAGCAGTCCGAAGGCAAAAGGAAAAAATGGAGCTGAATTAAGACAGCGATGAGTTTCGATGAGGAGCCGAGCTGAATCAGAAAGGAGTTGCGGGATGCCTGAGGTAAAGGGAAGAAACGAGTGGGGGAGGATGAGGGATGAAGAGATGAAGAAAGGAGGGACCGGGATGAAAAAGGGTGGGGGGGTGTGAAAAGGGGTGGGGGTGGGATTTAAATGGGTGCAACTGTGATGCACAAAAGGTCTGGTAGAAAGGGGGAGGTGTTAGGATTAGTAGGTGGACCAACTGCAACATCACTAAATAATGTAATACTACATGGAATTGAATGTAAGAAAAATCAACTGGCACTATCAACATTACATAGGCAGAGAACACAATACAATAGGATTGAATAAGGGAGTCCCCAGTAAGAACATATACCACAGAATAAAACTAGAACTGAAACTGATTTAAGCAGGCAGCAGAAAACTGACGAATAGTGACAAAAGCTTAAGAAGAAAAGGCATTGTAGATGCAAGGCATGGTAAGGGACAGGAATTTTAGCTCCATGCTAGGGAAAGCCATCGAGGCTTCAGAGCGCTGCAGCTGCGCAGGAAGCGTTGGAACCAAGCAGGGAGAGGCTACAGTAGCCAGAACAGCAGGTATGACAGAAAATAGATTTCAGTAGGAAATGGACTGGACTGTATCTGCAGAAGGAGCAGGCAGATGACCAAAGGGAATTCAGGAGAGAGAGTCAAGGTCTGAGGCAGAGTAGCCTGTAGCTGCACTGACATCCCACAACTGTTACTGCTTTGTCATGGAGACAGAATATGAGGATGTAAATTTATAAGGTGTTAGATTGGAAGAAGAAGGGGTTTCAGGCATGTTCCTCCCCCAAAAAGTCCATTATAACTTAACTACATTTTTAAATAAATCATCTAAACTTTTGTCTGTGCTGTAGTTCTGCGTAGTAGAATTGAACCTGTTCTGTGGTGGGCAGAGCTGTTATCATGCTAGCTAAGCTAATGCTAAACAGCTTGTCTCTCCTAGTTAGTAACACTGTTTAGATAGATGGTATGACTTCAATGATGATTTGAAAATTTTGTACTGTGTTCACTTATTTTTGAAATGCAAAATGAGACGGCAAAAAGCATCATAAGTGTTTAATGTCACTTATGACCTTATGTTACTTTCAACCTCACCCTCCACGCTGGTTATATTGTATACCGTGGTAATTTTTGGAGATGGTTTAAAGGCATTAAAAAGGGGAGTACAGCTCAACACTACACACACCTGTTTTTGTGTTGCTTTTCCTTTTTTACCATGAACTAAGGAGGAGTAGGTCACGTCCTAGAGAAAACATACCGTACACAATACAATAGTCAGTTCTTTAAACATGTAGGATTAGCTGCACATTCATTTAAATCATACAAATTTCTGACTGTACATGTGCTCACCTCAGTTTTGGCGGCTTTGTCCTTCTTTCCATGTGCTACAGATGAGTATGTTACATTGTCCTAGAAAGAAAACAAATGAATCATGAAAGACTCACTATTGCAGCTTGCTGAATGTGTGGATATATTTTGAGTATAAAACCCCAGAGAAAGTGACAAGATGTTCCTGGCAAACTGAAGAAAGTTGTTTTCTACTTGTTTCCAAAGGGAAAATTACTCTGAACACATCAGTTTTGGATTTGCCTGTATGGTAAAGCTCACTTCCATCTCAACATATATACCATTATCAGCCAGGGACAGGTGTTTTAAGTTGGGGGTGCTGAAATTTTAAACAGTGTATATGTGACATGAACGATACCCTCATGCAAAATTATTTGCCTTCTTTCCATTTGAATTTTTTGATACTTTAAATCACGTCATACTGCAATAAAATAAAGCAAGAGATGACATGTACATATAACTGACACATCTGACCAGTGATTCATATCTCATTCTGGACAAACTTTAGGCAAATTTAACTAGGTAGCGACAAATCACATTGTTGAAATGTGGCACCGAAATTGTGTCACATCACATGGTGAGATGTAACACTGAAGCACACATTGAGCAGAAGACTGAGCAGCAGATGTTTAATACAAATAGAAAAATACAAACTCCTCTCTAAAATAAACCTTCATTGTACACTCACATTATTAAAAAGATCTCTGTATTATTATTCTTGTTTTGAGCAATTGTAGTCTTGAAATCAGGGGGTGCTGCGGCCCCCACAGCACCTCCAACTCCCGCGTCCCTGTTATCAGTGACACCTGCTTGCTTAAAGGTAAGCAGGGCCATTGTGCCACTCTAGGCAAAGCATAACTATACCACCCTCGACAGATTTTCTACAACACGAGCTACTAGCTATCCCCATAAGCACGAATGTAATTCTGTAGCGCTAGCGAACTTGCGCTTTTTGACAATTTGTCACACAACATTTGTATAATAGGCTAGTTATATCTCAGCAACACATAGTGATCAGTTTCAGTCCTGCAAGATTTGTGATGTGTTCTTCAAAACAGACACCGACGCCCTTTAAATTCATCACGCAGCCCTCCAGCTTAGACTTACACTTGGACTCCATTTCCCAGAATCCAGTTGAAGATCACATGACTCAGAACTTCCTCGTTCATCTGATCACCGTCCACAATCACCTGACTACTAATGTTCTCTGTATCATATGCCTTGTTTAGTTTATAAGCCCAGACTTTAGCATAGTTCAGGTCAAGTTGCGAGGTATTGTTTCTCTAGTAGAACTACTGAGTGTTTTTCTGTTTGCTGTTTTTGCCACTTTGGTGTTTTGACCTTTTTCTGGATTCTCTGATGTTACCTTTTTGTCTTTACCCTTTTTGATCTGGTTGCTTTGGTTATGTTTGTACTCTTTTTCCTGATTGCTTTTTTTTTAGATCTGACCCACACGTTTAACGTCAAGTATTGTGAAACTCTTTTCAAGTAAAGCCTCATTCACTAAGATGGCAAATACCTTGCCATCGATGCAGACGGTAAATCAGGAGGCTTTTTGGAAGGCCTTTACCAATTAGCGTCATCTACTCGGGCAACACCAACAGGTTTTGTTGGGCGTTACTCCCTCGAAGTGCTAACTGACAGACAGCAACTAGCTGACAGACAGCAACTAGCAACAACAAACATAACTAGGCCATTTGGTGGTCAATGTTAAAGAGCTCCCTTATCAACTACAAGCTCTAGGTATGTCTGGTAAGAGTGAGAATGCTGCTGTCGATTCTGCATCTGTTGAAGTTTCTAGCTTTGTTTTTTTCTGTCAATAAACCTGATAAACTTGATGGTAATCCAGAGAAATGCTGTGGGTTTTTGCAGTACACTATTTTATTTAATATTGCGCCTCCAAGTTTGGATCTGGCAAAGATGTCATACCTAGTTTCATGTTTGACCGACAGAGCTTTAGATTGGGCAACCGCTGTCTGGCCCAAGGCCCAGCAGCAAGCATATGAAAAATTTTTGAAGAATTTTGTATGGTTTTTGATTATCCTCATGACAGTAAAGTATGTGGTGAGCTCTTGTCAGGGAGCTCATTCAGTTTCCAAATATGCACTTGAATTCCATATCCTGATGGCTGGTAGTGGCTGGAATGAACTGGCTTTATTAGTTATGTTTCGACAGGGACTGAAGCCTGATATTCTCACTGAGCTGGCTTGTGGAGATGATAAATTAACACTAGATAAACTCATTCGATTCAATCAATTTGACTGGACAAGCTTATTCGAGACTGTAAATTTCTGGGTAGCAAAAGAAGAATCAAATCACCAGCCATTTTGCCTAGAGAAAACCCAGACATGGAGGGAACCCATGCAGTATGGCTCATTCTGCCAGTCACCTGAGGAGAGACTTCGTCATCTGACTGGAGGACTGTGCCTGTATTGTGGCAGTGCTGGTCTTGTTCTGCGTGACTGTTGGGCCCGTCTGCATAGCTCTCAGGCACCGACCCCTGAAAATGTGATGAATATTCCCACAAAGGGGTGGGTTTCTAAGTCTTTCATCATGCCTGTAACTATTCACTGCCAGAACCTCTCCTCTGTTGTTTCAGCCCTGATTGACTCTGGAGCCGAAGGAAACTTCATTCACAAGAGACTCATGGATGGACTTCAAATTCCTGTGACACCTCTGGAGAAACCCTTTGAGGGTAGCTGCCCTGGACAAAGAGCCTATTGGAACTGGGAAAATCACCAACAAAACTGAACTGATTTGAATGTGTGCTAGTGAACTAGTGAACAGATTTCTTTCTTAGTCGACTGAATTTTCTATATTCTTATGTCTACCCTGGCTAGAACAACATAATCCTAACATCTCTTGGTCTACCCATTCACTCCTTTTATGGTCAGAGTACTGTCACCAGAACTGTCTTGACTCTCTCTCCATCCCTGTCAGATCCACTTCTATTGAAAGTCCCAATTCAGATATTATCTGTAACATTCTGGTAGAATATTCTGATTTGCATGAGTCATTTAATAAGAGAAACACCACAAAACTATTCCTGCACCTTCCCTATGACTGCGCCATAGCTCTCATTGATAGTGCTACTCTTCCCAAATTGTGTGTTCCCTAATGCAAGAGGAGGAACGTGCCATGGATACGTACATACAAGAAGCTCTAGACCAGGGATTTAACCGACCCTCAACTTCCCCAGCAGCCTCAGGGTTCTTCTTTGCTAAAGAGACAGATGGAGGTCTTCATCCTTGCATTGATTACCAAGCTCTAAACCAAGTAACCAAGAAATATCTATATCCTGTCCCTCTTGGCGTTTCACTATACTCCAGAGTACCTGGTTATGCCATTTGGTTTTCCCAATGCTCCCTCTATGTTTCAGACATTCATTAATGATGTTTTACGATGATTGATGATATTCCTATCTACTTTCCTGATCTCGAGACTCATGTGTGTCAGGTCTAAGTGCTAGTGGTGTGGTAATGGATGATCACAAGGTGGAGGTTGTGGTGAATTGGCCCCAATCTACTACTGTTAAAGAACTCCAGTGATTTCTAGGGTTTGCCATCTTTTACGGACATTTTATTCATAATTTCAGTAGGATTCCTGGACCCTTAACTGCCCTCTTATAGGGTTCTCCCATAGAATAAGCTGGACACCTCAGGCTGAGAGAGCCTTTGAGATTCTCAACGAAGCATTTACTTCAGCCCCACTATTGAAACACCCTAATTTTTCCAAACCATTTGCTGTGCCTGAGACTGGAGTGGGAGCTGTATTGTCACAAGTTTGGGAGAGTCTTCTAAATTACACCCAATCACCTTCTTTTCACGTAAACTCACACCAGCAGAACGGAAATATGGTATAGGAGACTGTGAGCTACTTGCAGTAAAGCTCGCTTAAGAAGAATAAAGCCATTGGCTAGAAAGTGCTAATTACCTTCTCTGTCCTAAGTGATCACAAAAATCTGGAGAATGTGCATACAGCGAACGTCTTAACCCCTGCCAAGCACATTCGTTATTCTTTTCAAGTTTTAATTTCAGTATTTTGTCCCACCTGGGATCCCTTAATACAAATGGTAAAGTTCTGTCTAGAATTTATCAAGTTGATGAAAAAGTTGATAGCACTCACGAGTCTGAAAACATTCTACCCCCACCCATTAACATTTCTTCCATCTGTTGGGAGATAGATGAAGAAATAGAAAAAGCTCTAGAGAACACCAAAATCCCTGACCAGTGTCCATCAGAAAAGACACAATTTAGAGATCATCTAATCACTTGGGCTCATTCTTGCCTTACTTCCGGTCATCCAGGTGAAAACCGTACCCAACAGCTTATAGCTAATCACTACTGGTGGCAGACAGGTGAGATGAAAACAAATGAGTAGAACCGTTGCTGTACCATAGGAAAGGTAAATAAATGATTATGTATTTTCAAGAATAAACGTATGCATTCCACCTTAGATATTGTCAAATAGCATACTTCCAGTGTTAGGTAAAGTAGCTTGCAGGGCTGGAGTGGACTTGTTTTCAGACCAGGGAGTCATATGATGGAGACCAGCCCTCCCCAAACTCTACACACACACAAAGTGGGTAGTCAAACCTTGTAGATAAAATTTCAAAACATGCTAATGCCCTTATTTTTAACAGCAGTGCAGTCATCACTACATATTCCAACACTTACACCCTGATACAAAACTATAGCAATCGACCCAGAAAGCAAGACTCTCATAAACACAACCAACACTGCAGCACCTTCACTATAAATTATGCACCTGCTTACCACAGACACAACTTCTGTGCAAAGAAGACAACAAAACTTCCGATAGCTGGGATGTACAAAGATGAGGAAAAACAACACAGCAATCTTAAAAAGCAGAAACAAATCATAAGGCAGCGTAATGCCATGGTGGGCATGAAACATGTTTATGATCCGACTTACCTGTAATGACTCGATGCATTGCAGGACTGGTAGCTGTTTTTTTTTTTTTTTTACTTTTTGTAACACAAGCCAATTCCAGCCTTTGTAGTGAAACAGCACTGTGAGTACCAAATTTGCAGAAAACAGGGAAGTTTTACATTTGTTTTCAGCTTTGAAATTGACCTACTTTATGGGACAGATATACTTTTAAATGTGCCCAGTTAACTGGAGCTTTAATTTCAATAACTGGCGCACTGATAATGAACTGAAGATCTGAATTAAATGCAATAAATTCTGTAGAGCTGCCTGTTGTGTCAGACAGTACCAGACTGGCTGATGTTGTGGCCAGTTCACGAGTTGAGCTGAATTTGATAGGCTGATCTCTTGAGGCTGAAGTTAGCTTCTTATTCAAATTTCAGTTCCACCTTAGTGCAGTAGTAACATGAACCCGTACAGGCATCTAAATGTAACTGCTACATCTTTAAGGTGGAACGGGCAAATAATAAGAAGCTGTCTTCAGCTTCATCTAATCTCTGTCCACAAACCATCCATGCTGTTTTTGTTCTCCTCCGTTTTAATTGGTAATGCATGTTCAACATGTTTAATCCACATCTTACACTTCTTCTCTTGTGTCTTTGATGTAGAAAATGAGTAAAATTTTACTTCTTTCGCATTCCACTGAACATGATCCGGGCAAGTCCTTAGTGATGCACTATTACAGGTAAGTTCAGTACTATTACAGTTAAGCTTCATAGACATATAGACACCAACACTTAGGTTCTGTACTGAAAATGTTTAGAATTGAAAAGGTACCTGGTCTTGTGGTGGTTTGCTGTTTCCACCGTGGATTACAGTTGAGTATGTTATGTCATCCTGAAGAAAGCCATGAGTTTCATGAGTTGGCACATGTTAGTAATTCAATAAACACCTTATTTTTCCACTTCTGATTGTAAAAATGTTTAAAGCTGATTTTTTTGTACCTCATTTCTTCTCTGTCCTGTTTCTTTTTCGTTACTCTTTTTTCTTCCTGGGGAATTTGAACATAACAAGCTGTATAAAAGCTGCATATGTGTAGTACATTTTCCTGTGTGTGTGAGTGCATGTCTACTTATTCATACCTTTTCCATATTTCCAGTAGGTGTAAGCAGCTCCTCCCAGCAGTAAGAGCAGGATCAGTAAGAGCGCACAGACGATGATGATTAGCATCTGGTCTACTGGTTCTCTGGTGTCCCTGGAGGCATCTGAAAATACAGGATTTACTGTGAAAAAGGGGGTTTGTGCTGTAATTTCACACTGATTCTCTCTCTTCTCTCATTGAAACAAGTGGGAGAAATTGTCCAGAAAGTGCAGATGTATACCACATTTGTGTTTGTAAGCAAAAGAGGATATATTTTAGCATGATTTGAATTTGATAAGAAAAGGTTATTGTGGGGCTTTTTTTGCTTTGTGGAAAGAAAAAAATGTTTATTATTTGATGACATCAAAACAGATTGAGATTTCCTTATGTAAGTGTAATTAATGTGATTGTGTAATTACATTTTAAACAGTGTAGTCAGTAAATTCCCAACTTGGGAATTGTGTTACGCCTCCCACCGGCACGCCTGGAACTACAGCCAAAACAACCACCTCAAACTATAAATCCCAGAACCCCTCGCTGCTTCTCATGACTCAGGAATCCAACTGATCAACCTATCAGCGCTCAGCTTTATGGGACTTCTGATTATGCACAACTGTTTTCCATTGTATTTAAACTGTCTGTTTTCTGAACCACATTGCAAAGTATCCTCTCTTACTACGAGCATATCGAGCGTTTCTCTTTTGTCTGTTTGCCCATTTCTGTGTATGACCTGTTTTTCCGTCTTGACCTTGATTTTTGCCTTGCTCTTATGTCCAGTTTTGGATCTGTAGTTTTTGACTTCTTGCTTTCATTTCCCGACTGTGATTTTGGACCAACCCTTTGTTATTGAAGATCTGAACTCAAGCCTCATCTGTGAGCGTCTGGTTCTGTCTGCCACCGTTACAATCATCCTTCCTTTGATTTAGGAATATTGAACATGTGCCGCATCCAGCGTGTGTGTAATTCCTTATTTGTTGCAGCATGTATAACATTAGATGATGATTAATATTGTTGTAAGTCCTATAGACTCTACAGACCTATTTAACTTAATGGTCTTTATCATTAAAAGGCAAATTTCTTTCCCTTTTTTGAAATAAAGGACTTTGGAGTTTGAAAACGTATGACTCATGCTCTCCAGATGAGATCCTCATGGACAAAGGCACGAACTTCACACCTCAACTGATGTCACAATTGTACCAACACTTAGGAATCACACTATACACACTACTCCCATTCGTCCCCAAATAGTCTAGTCTGCCCTTCAAAAGATAATCACCGCTGGTTTGACTTTAAATATCGAAAAGTATGAATGGTGTCAGACAGAGGCAAAATACCTAGGCTATTGATTAGGAAGATGGTCCAACCACAGCTTGACGAAGTGGAGGCCATCAGGAATACACCACGGCCTCACACGAAAAAGTAGGTTTGTTCCTTCCTGCGTTTAGTCGCCTGGTATCATCGCTTTAGCCTTCAGTTTGCCACCATTGCAGCTCCACTAACAGAGCTGACTCTAAAGACAGTCAGAGTCTCGTCCACTGGACAAAAGACTGTGAGCAGGCATTCCAGGCCCTCAAGTATGCACTATGCTTAGAGCCAGTATTGGTTAGTCCAGACTTTAATAAAGCATTTGTTGTACAAGTGAATGCTTCAGCTGTTGTAATCACAGCTGCTCTGATCCAGAGGGTGAAGTGTGTCCTGTATTGCACCTTAGCCGTAAGTTGCTGCCATGGGAGACAAGTTATTCTACAGTGGAGAAGGGGAAGGAGTCTCCGGTACTACCTGTTCAATTCATATTAGAAACAGACCACAAAGTACTAACATGGATGAATACTATGAGGGACCATAACTTGCGGATCACAAGGTGGTACTGTTTGTCTTCCATCTCTGTCAGAGGAAAGGAACTCAGAATGTCCTGGTGGACTTTCTTTCGTGATTACCTCACTTTGCAATCCAGGAGAGGTGGTAGGTGATGTGACAGAACAGGTCTGCCAGACTAGTACATAATCTTATTTCTCTAGTCGTCTTACACACTACACACACACGTTCTGCCTCTGTTTTAGCAACCCTTACTCCTAAACAACTTCCTTATTTCAGTTACATGCTAGCTTAGATATTTACCACAGCATCAGTTTAAGCTTGTCATACAACTGGGTTTGTTAGTCAGAAGACAGATACTTCTAATACCACATGCAAATGTTTATACCTACCTGGGGGTCAGGTAGGGGGGAGGGGTCGTAAAACAATTAACTTTCTGTCTTTTCTTTGACAATTAATTTGTAAATAGCATAATGTTGCGTTTATTTTTCTATTTTGTTAAAGTTTTGCACTTTTTGCACATTTGCACTGCACCAGTAAACACTCTTGCACTGAACATGCTATTTTGGTCTACCCAAATTCCTTAGATACCCACAGCCTTGTGACAGTCCTCATTACAGCTGTCTATCTGTTAAATTGGTTTAGGATGCTTACTTAATGAATGATATTAAATTTAATATCATGGTATTTTCAAACATATTACAGTTAAGCATAACTAACAATAGCAATCAGATGATATTAAAGTTTAAAATTAAAAAAATAATGAACTCATGCTTTGTGTTTTCTTATTTTTTATGAATTTTAAGTAAATTAGATACATATAAACCATCAAGGACTGAATACCATGAGTAAAATACAGACAATTAAATATCACCAAAACAGGAAATGGCATGTCAGTATCACGGTATACTGGTATAGATTCTATATCACCCAGCACTATGCTAAATAATTGGCATGGAAATTTCATTTTGTGTCAGGGAAAGGTCATGGAATAGTCACAGAATTCCATTGTTTAAAAAAGTGTACAAACCCAGATAAAAGCAAAAGTAAACTTTAGGTACCACTTTTTAGATGTGAAGCACCTCGTGAACCAAGTCCATGGCTCACTGCTTCACTTGTGATTAGCTGGTTAATGTGTGGCGTTTCTAGTCTCCCATCCAAAAATGGCAGACCAGCACTTTGAATGACAGCAGTGTATGAAAGGTGCTGTATAAATAAACTTGCCTTGCCTTGTCTCATGTCCAAAAATGACAGACGGCTAATACAGCATGAGAAACACAGTGAAAGACTTCAAAGAAGTTATAGTAACAATACAATCCTTTTTTTGTGAAATAAAGATTTTCTCATTTTCACTTAGAAAGTCAATAAAATGTGGAAATTGACTTGGAGTATACATATATTTGACTGTGTGTTTGTTTCTTTCTGAAACAGATGTTGTGCTAAACCAATATCTTGTGTTTGTTCACAGTGATTTTTAACAACTGTTGAACAGTGAATGAGTATGAAAACCATGTGTCAGATGCACTGCAGCACAATTCAGACATCTCTTCAGCTTTAGTGACTAAAAACTTACTGCAAAACCACCAAATGATGGTAGTTATCAGTTTCAGGAATGCCGCTACATTGAAGAGCAGGTAAAAGTTAAGTTGCAAAGTCTTTAAAGGTCTAAGTCAGTTTACCTGTAATGTTGAGACTGATGTTGATGGACTGTTTGCTGTTGATTGAACATCTGTATGTTCCCTGGTCTTGTTCAGTCAGGTTGGAGATCAGTAGAGAGAGATTTGCTAGAAGGTTCTTATTAAACATGTGGACTCTGCCTGTGTATCGTGGCGTCTCATTGGATACCTCAGTCCCTCCTGAGTCTACATGCTCCCATTTCACACTTACAGGTTTGGAGTGTTGGTCAGTGCAGGAGCAGGACAGGAGAACAGACTCTCCTGGAGATCTGATAATCAGTTTCTCCTGAGTCTCTGACAGTGTGCAGCCTGCAGGAACATAAAGCAGCACAGTGTTTCTGTTCTGTTCAGTACGGTAGCATTATCTGATTGAATAATATCAGTTCTCTCAGGAGAAGTCTTGAGTCTGAACCAAAGTAAACATTTCTGATACAGCTGTAAAATTACATTTTCATATTGCTTCATGGTGCAGATCTGTATTTTGGTTATTACAGAACTGACCATTTCGGCTCCATTGTTTTAATATAATTGGCCAATTTGTGCTATCCTTTAGGTCATTACACACTGACAGAGATGAAAAAAAAGTCAGTATATCTTCAAGCACTAACACTGGGTACTCTGCTTTTGGAGATGTTAGCCACACATCTGATGAAGCAGGGGACAAAGTATGGGTTGCATGGGACCGATCCATCAGCTTAATGAAGAGTTTGCCTACAGGAGGGAGATCTTTCTGTTTCAAGTCACAAAAATCTACCACTTTATGTCACCAAGACCAAGAAACTTACTGTGGACTTCAGGGAAACAGAAATGATCACACTTCTATCAGTATCAGTGGCTTGCCTATGGAAATTGTCAGCAGTTTCAGATTGCTGAGTGTGCAGCTGTCAGACTCCCTTCTCTTGGTCCCACAACACCAGCAGCATTCTTAAAAAGACAGAGCAGTGACTGTTCCTCCTGAGGAGACTAAAAAGCTTTGGTGTACACGATAGTCAAGGTGCTGCTGCACAGTGTCCGATAAATCCTTGTTTGTATAAATGTTTAAATTACATGGCTTGTTGTAGTTGTAAACAAACAGGAGAGCAAAATGAAAAAATGGGCTATGCAGCTGCTTTCATCTCTGCTTTCATCTCTGCTGTGCTGACAGTTGATTAATGTGGTCCTTCGACACTGTTGAGGACCCATTGAGATGCTTTCGCATTCACACTACAAATGTAGTGTGGTCATATACATCCCTGATCACCTTTAAAAGTGGTTTGAGTGATTGGATCTCAGTGCGTCTCGGAGACACACTGTCCCTTGTTCACACCTGTACTTAACACTATACACTTATGATTGTGTACTGGATGTATCACTCAGGACGCATGGCAATGCCAGGTGTAAATGAAGCTGTATTGTGTGTTCTGACTGTTGACTTGGCAACCTGACTGCCCAGGATCTTAGACCCCAACAAAGAACTGTCTGAACTGCTCCTACTGCATCTCATACCGTTCTCCCCAATCCCCTCTGGCGAATGCCTCAGAAGTATATATCGTAGACCACCCACTTCAGAAACAGCTTCTTTCCTCAAACCGCCTTAGCTCTTTACAGCAAACACTGATTCACTGCCATCTCACTTTAAACCACTGTTCTATCCTGTCTTATTTTATTGGATCCTATACACTTTTCTTTGTACTGTATATTCTATACTGTGCATCCCCACATCCAAAACCTACAATTTTGCACTATTCCTATTTATTCCTGCCATCTACCTCACACCATATTGCTAATCACTTGTAGTGTTTGCCTTTATTTTTTGTTACTTGCTGTCCAATGTTTTTCTCCAGAATGTACAATACCCCTCTAGGATATGCACTACCTCCCTCTCCCCATCAGCCCATGTACTTCTTTTTTGTCTTTTTATCTATTGGCTCATGATGATGCGGTATAGGAATTTCAGTGTATTTTTGATTGCCCTGTATTCTGAATACATTTGACAATAAACAAATCTTGGTCTTGAAACGACTGGCTGAGTGAGTCAAGGTTGCTGCAAAAATTGAACAGGCGTCTAATAGAAGAATGTCGTATATTCACCATCTGATTTGATGTGCACGATCAGTTGAACATGTTCTAAATGAAATTATTAATTTTATGATACTTTGTGTGTTTCAGTAATACCATATAATGGTCTGCTAAAGATGAATACACAAGTACTTTGAAGGTCTAAGTCAGTTTACCTTTAATGCTGAGTCTGATGTTGATGGACTGATTGTTGTTGATTGAACATCTGTATATTCCCTGGTCTTGTTCAGTCAGGTTGGAGATCAGTAGAGAGAGATTTGCTGGAAGGTTCTTATTAAACATGTGGACTCTGCCTCTGTAGAGCTTCATCTTATTTAATACCTCAGTCCCTCCTGAGTCTACATGCTCCCATTTCACACTTACAGGTTTGGTGTGTTGATCAGTGCAGGAGCAGGACAGGAGAACAGACTCTCCTGGAGATCTGATAATCAGTTTCTCCTGAGTCTCTGACAGTGTGCAGCCTGCAGGAACATAAACCAGCACAGTCTTTCTGTTCTGTTCATTATGATTGCATTATCTGTTTAATGGTGATTGACTAATGTCTTTCTCTCATGAGAAGTCTGGAGTCTAAACTGAAGTGTCATTTGCTGTTACAGTTGGAAAATTATATCTTGATGCTGCAGAATTCTTTACATACACATTTCTGTAATATGGTGATTACAAAGCTGTCCAGTTAGGTTTCATTTTATGATCTAATTGGACAGCTTATGCTGCCTTAAGGTCATGACACACTGAAAGTGAACAAAAATGTCTAAATATATTGAAGTATAAAGATGCAAGCAATGACACTGGGCAGATTACTTTTTAGTTCCAAGACCCAGTTCGAGCTGCTTTTGGAGATGTTAGCCCCACACCTGATGAAGCAGAGGACAAACTAATCCCTTTTACCAGTTAAAGTATGGGTTCCTGGGACACGACTGATCCATCATCTTAATGATGAGTCTGCCTACAAGATGGACATACATGGGACATATCCTGACATCTATACACCTAGCATTTTGCACTATTCCTTTGCTCTGTTTCTGTTTATTCCAGCCATCTGACTGACTTCATTCTTCCAGTCACCAGTATTGTTTAGTGCCCTTGCTTTTATTTGTTATTTGTTGTCTGGCATTTGTTCAATACCCTTCTTGTACCTCCCCTATTGCCCTGTGCATGTCTTTTTAGATCTTTTTGTCTGTAGGAGCATGCTGCTTCAGTACAATAAAATACTCTTGAGCTTAGTTGTTTCCATGTCAACACCTGAGAAAACAGTGATCGCTCGATTGTGTGCATGTAATCTGTGAAAGTTTGCAAAAATCAAACCGAGGGTGAATAAAATAATGTTGCATCACATTCAGTGTGTGAAGCCTTTTCAGCTCTACTAAGGAATTACCGGAGTGCTAATGATAGTATGTCTTTTTCAGTAATATCACAGTATGATTAGATGAAAATACACCTAATCATACTGTGAAATACAAGTATTTTTAAGGTCTTAGTCAGTTTACCTTTAATGCTGAGGCTGATGTTGATGAACTGTTTGTTGTTGATTGAACATCTGTATGTTCCCTGGTCTTGTTCAGTCAGGTTGGAGATCAGTAGAGAGAGATTTGCTGGAAGGTTCTTATTAAACATTTGGACTCTGCCTGTGTAGAGCTCCGTCTCATTGGATACCTCAGTCCCTCCTGAGTCCACATGCTCCCATTTCACACTTACAGGTTTGGTGTGTTGGTCAGTGCAGGAGCAGGGCAGGAGAACAGACTGTCCTGGATATCTGATAATCAGTTTCTCCTGAGTCTCTGACAGTGAGCAGCCTGCAGGAACATTAAGCAGCACAGTGTTTCTGTTCTGTTCATTACTATAGTAGTGTGTGTTTGTGTGTTTCTATGTGTTTAATAAGGATTAAGATGTTTTGAACTGAAGTATCAGTCTTTATTATATCTGGAGAATTATATTTTGACACAGCAAAATTCTTTATAACACTAATCTGTAATTTGGTGGCAAAGCTGGCCAATTTAGCTTCATTTTATGATCTAATTGGCCAGTACATGCTGCCTTAAGGTCATTACACACTGAAAGTGGTGCAAAAAGAACAGTCAACATATTTTATAAGTTGCTACTTCAAAATAAGAGTTCCTGAATGTGAGTGCATTGCCTCATAAATGTGTTTTTAAGGACGTGACTCAGAAGGCAAGGATAGCATGGCTGCATTGCTAAATAGGTTACTGTAGCTAATGTTACCTTGGTCCAAAACAATAAAAATATATTTATCTGACAGATATCTTATTGCCACATGAGGAGAAAATACCTTGTGACATGAAGTCCTCATCAGCATCCAACGTAATGCTTGTTAGCCCTGTTAGCTTAATAGTAGTTTTAAAGAGGCAGCCACTGTTAATCATCCATCATGAAAACCCACCTCACTTCCCTCAGCTGTTTTTGAACAATAAAACATTTTCCTCTGTGCGCTGCTATATTTTTGTGCATCACCAGTGCTGTCACCTAAAAAGCTGAGCCTATATCCCTAAACTAGTTACAGTTAAAGTTGTTTTTTTCCCCTGTGGTTAACTGGATATCCATTCATGAACTTGTGTACTCAATATTCAAATATCAAAATTAGTCAGAATGCACATCCCTGCTGCTCACCAATCCCAAACCAAGATTCAAGGTTTTTTGCCATATGCGAACAGCACTATCACACACGGAATTCATACTTGAAGTACCCAATTAAGAGTCAGCATAGAACACAATCAGACACCAACTCCAGACAGGCAGCACTGAATCCAGACTACACACAATATTACAGAGAGAAACTGTAGTGTGACTAAAATGGGTACACATATATGTGCACAAATATGCGACTACATACACCTCACCTTACATCTCCTGTTTTGGAATCTTCTCTGGACTCTATGCTTCTTGTCATGCTGTGAATTTGGGTGCACTACTAGTTTTGTTTTATTAATACTACACAGCTGAATTATATCACACACTTTAGTGCTTAACAGAAAACACAGTAAGTTCCCTGGACAAAAAGGAGTCACATTCTGCACTTCTTTTCTAATACTTACTTAAGTGTTCTGTCCTGTGAGGTAAGTATTAAGTATAGTCTCCTGTTACCTTTACAGCAATCTCCCACTCTTCAACAAACTTTGTGTTTAATATCCGAGCAGAACACAGATGACAACTGTAGGGTAGGCATGGGTAACAAGAACTGGTATTAAATGTGTACCAGTTCCTGATTGGTCAGTACCGAAGTATTGATAAGCTCCTGGACAAATGGTGCTGTTATCAATATGTATGTAAAGTTAATTTATTCAAACATAGCTTTTCACATGTACTCTGATTGGCTAACACTAACTTTAACCCATTTTGAATGCTGATCATCATTCTCTGCTCTCCAGTCACGACTGAAAGGGTAAAACTTTCAGAAGTGTGGGCTCACTTTACTAAACTCAGTGAACATGCAGCTAAATGCATAGTTGCGTATAAAGGGTGTAACACCAGTAACTTCATGAAAAACAAGTACAACATTCTGTAAATCTGAAGCAGCGCAGCGTGTTTGACAGCTTCAGCAAAGCAACTGCTGAACCAGTTTCTCTGTGCAGCCTCTCAGCTCTGATGCTGATGGGATTTTCCAAACTAAAACTGTTACTGTCTTGACCTTGTCAAGTCAAGGTAAGACTCGTTATCATTATAAAAATGAGTCTGTAGGTATTAACTCAGGACACAGCAGTTCTAAGCACTTCTAAGTTATGCTCCTAAATAATCAACAGTCAAGCAGCAGCCACAGCTTCATCAGTGCATAGCAGTAGTCAGTAGTCAGACACGATTGCATGACTTCATGATGCTGTCAGTCTGTACAATGGAGAGCGGAATGACATTTACTTTTCCAATGCAAACATGTGAACGCAGCATAAGTTCGAACTTAGTGTGAGCTGTCCTGACAAGCAGGGACAATTAATTTTGTAGTTACCACCCCCCTCTCAGAGGCACATTATCAAACATCATCATACCTGCTTGGTATGAAGTTGAGAATAAAAACATCCCTGCTGACACCAGTGTATCAAAAGTAGCCATAACCACTGATGGGTGGATGAGTATCACACAGAATCCCTATATCACAGGCACACTCCACTGTATAAATGAAGACCAACTGAGACTTATAATTTTTGCAAAAAAATGTAAAAATAAAATAACTTTTGAATCTTTTCATGTCATGCCTTTATTTATATAAAAAAAAACAATATATATATATATATATATATATATATATATATATATGGGGAGTAGTATCAATAGGAGTATCGATAAGTATTGGTATCGTTAAGCAGTATCACTATCGGTACCTGCTGTAGAGTGTCTGTATGACCGGATCAGCAAACATAATGGAACACTGGGACAGTTTGAGTGACCATCAAAATCAACATAGACCAGCAGGCTAAGCATTAAAATAAACTCATACAAACTCTGGCTGAAATGGGCACCCAATTCACGGGAGAATGGACTAGAATGGACAGGAACTCTCAAAACTGGTGTAATCCTTACCTGAAGGTCCCCAAAGTGTCTTTGATGAAAATGTCCAAGTTATTTTTAACTTAACATTAGTAGTGAACTTGAAGTACTGAATATGGAGAATACTACATTTTTATTAATGTAATTAATGGAAATGCACCTAAAATGCACTTTCCTGTACACTTTAAAAGTAATATATTTGAAATTGTATTTAATATTTAATATGATTTAAGGAATTACACTTCGATAAAACAAGAATGAATATAATCATTTCATAACATATCGAAGCATATAAACAAAAGCATATTTAAATGTCCTTAACCCAGATGTTTTATTTAGGAAGTATATTTTAAAGGAGGCTTTAGTACATTTTAGCTGCAATGTAACTCTGATTGTTATTAGAATAGAATTTGTAGTACAATTATGTCTTCCTTAGGTTGCTGAAGTTTGACTCCACTGCAACAGAAGTTGTTCCAGTTTAGAATAGAAAAGCACTTGCAGGCACAGATTTATTTCCACATTACTTAAATATAATTTACACTTAAATGCACTGCTCTGCACCTCTGTGCAGCTGCCTTGAACTGCTAGGAACTGACTTGTGGTCAGACATCACTCATCATTAGTGACTCATGACAACAGCAACAGTGAAAGCACTAACCAGGGATCAGGTTTTGTTTACATGTTGTATCATCACTATCACAATTAAAGGTGCATGGAGGCCTCTGTCTGAGCCTCTAAAAATCTAAAACCTTTTTGTCAATTCTGATCCAGTCTTTACACAACAGGTGAGCAAATCACACAGTATAAATGCAAAAACCTAACATTTTAACAAAAAGTTGCTGTATTACTACAGACCTACTACAGGACTGATAAAGGACTAATACAGGACTACTACAGGACTACTACAGGACTATTACCACAAGGAACAAATCCTTTTTCCAAATGCTTTAGCTGTTCTCAATACCTTGATTACATCTACTAATAATATTATTGATTCTAGCTTTGTTTTTAGTCTCATTCAGCAGATGTGTGAATGTGAAAGAGACAGAATTCAGCAGTTTACCTTTAACAGTGAGGCTGAAGTTCCTGTACTGATTCTGGTTTATCCAGCATGAATATGTTCCTCCGTCCTCTTCAGTCAGGTCTGAGATCAGTACAGAGAGATTTCCTGTAGAGTTCTGGTTAGACGTCTGAACTCGGCTGCTGTAGCGCTGAAGGAGATCTTCATGGTTTGGTGTTCTCCACTGAACTCTCTCAGGTCTGTCCTGCAGGTCAGTGCAGGAGCAGGACAGAAGAACAGACTCTCCTGAGGATCTACTGACTGGAACAGTCTGTTTATTCTCTGACAGAGCGCAGCCTAAAAAACAACAACATACATTATACAATTTATGCATTACTTATTTTAACATATACAATTAAATGTAAATCAAATTCATTTGCCGAGTTTCATTCCAACAATTTTGAATATAGTGATATTTTTATAAGAATAATAGATGATGTTGATGGAAAACATTTTTATTTTACTTACAAAGATGATATTAATCATAATAAAGCACTGATATTTCCTTTATTTATGAAGCTCACAACTTATGTCATGAAAAAAGGCAAGTGGTCAATAAAGTTTTGGGCAAAAAATCTCTTCATTTGAAATTGTGTTGTTATATAGAAATTAAAATATTGTAAAATTTGTCTAAACCTAAAGGGATTTTTAAGAAATTTACAATTAGGAGATAATGTGAATTTTGTTGACCACCAATTTCATACATTTTAAAATACACCTCATGACTAGAACTGCAACTATTGAATATGTTTTCTACAGAAAATTATTTAGAAAATTTCTAAATATTCTGTAAGAATAAGAAAAGCGCAAGCATGTTTATTTTTTTAAGAATATTTAGTAACTGAATGTGTTTTCAAATGACTTTTTCTGTTTTCAGATATTTTATTATCTAAATTGTTTGTTGTGTGTTTTGTAATAACTTTGCATTATTGATTTTTTTTGTAGTTTTCAGTTATGAAAATACTTTCCCAGTGTGTTTAATCACAGCAGTCACATCTGCACTACCATCACATTCCACAGCTACAGTTACTGTTACTGTTCTCTTCAGTCTTACAGAGAGAAGCTTCTGGAAACAGATTTGGTGCTGAGTCAGTTACACTGGTGCAGTGTGATCAGTACTGAAACTGTATAATGATTGAGTGACTGACCTTTGACCTCTAGCTGGACATATGGCATGTCTTTCTCATCAGCTCTGCAGGTGTAGCGTCCAGAGTCCTCTTTAGTCAGATCTGAGATGAGGAGAGAGAAATTTCTGGAATGGTTTCTGGTTGAACATCCAGACTCTGCCTCTGTAGGATTCTGTATCATTACACACTGCAGTCTGATCTTTAGTCCATGTGACTCTGTCAGTGTTGATCTTGTGTTGGTCTGTGGGACAGGGACAGGGCAGCAGAACAGACTCTCCTGGAGATCTGGAGATCATTCTCTCACTGTCACTCAGCACAGCACAGCCTGCAGACCCACAAATACAAACAAACACATCATCACCATCTCAACAACACCACAGTAAACAGTTCTCTCAGTGGTCTTTACCACTGTTAACTCCTCTGTTCATATCAGCTGGGTGTGAATCTGTCATTCATTCTCTTGTTTAATGTCATTTTAATTGCTGGTGTTATGGGACGTTTATCAGTCAGGGTTGTTTATTGTTCCTGTGAATGAATTTACATTTTGAAAGCTTTTAGGAAGCTAATTTTAAAGCTTCAATATCAATATCAATATTTTTTATATGAATATCTGCTGTTGCTGATACGTAAACATTTACAGTCTGAAGGATGTTTTTACTCATTGCTATGGAGTTTACAGTACAGAGAAATACATTTTTATTCATTCTGCTTTTTTGGAGTTACTACATCATCAGATATCAGTGTGAACTGTAGGTCAAATCTAAATATTAGTCAGATGATGATAATTATTTTTAAGCAGTTATCTGCTGATATTGATATGATTCTGTTATCATCCTGCATCACTATGACTGGAACTAATAACAAACTGAACACTAATCAGTAACGCTTTACAGGAACTACATGTAGATGAAGTATTCATGGCATATTCATAAACAGTACAGTAAGGATTCATTACAGTTACATCCTTTAGAAACATTT